AAGATGAGGCTTTTGGGCGACACAAACTCAAGTAATCTTTTTTACAGTTCGTAATTAGCCAATAACAGTCACACATTTCAGTCACATGACCGAACTGGTAAGTTCCAAAGCTGGTATGTGCAATATGACCAAATAACCTATAAAAATAACCTTTATATATTAACTTTTTTTGCTGACCTTTTACAAGATAAGGCTTTTGGGCGACACAAACTCAAGTAAGCTATTTTACAGTTCAAAATAAGCCAATGACAGTCACACATTTTAGTCACATGACCGTGCAAACTGCTCGATGCGATGTCTCTACCCCCACCTGCGTTGGTGTCATCCCCTCCAGGACCCTCCAAAGCTCCGGGGTCTTCGGAAGCCTTGTTGAGAGCGGAGGACAGCGGGTCTCCCTCCCCGCCCATGAGGAACTCCACGGAGGCGCTCTCTGTTGACCCTCGCTGACCGTTCAACAGTCTGAGCCGCTTCCGTTCAATCTCGTGCTGGCGAAACTTGTCGACGCAGTCATCGATGAGGGTGGACGAAGCCTTCTTGTGGCCCACTGTCACCTGCGGGGTTTTTAATTCATTGTTAATTCATCTAAAGACTTTAATTAGTAACGGCTTTTGTTGTTTTTTCTTATATTCATGCGTACCTTTCCACAGTAAAGCACTTCAAACTTCTGCGAGTTGTAGAAGGCCTCATCAGCTTCCTGTTTAGGCTTGGCATCCCCCTTTAGGGCCGATTTGGACACTTGGCGAATACTACTGATTACCTCTGGGACCTGTGAGTCAGAACAAGGGAATGAAGGCATAATCAAGACAATTAGCAGCTCAGTCAACAAACAATCAGCTCAAGTGACATAACAACGAAACGCACAAAACAGTACCAGGAAAAGCTTTGGACAGACCTGTCCCTTGAAAAACAAATGCAGTAGCTACAAATGTAGAAAAAAAATTGCTTAAAAGGGTCAAGCGCTTGTGCAGAGTGGAGGCAGTTTGCAGGATGCATTAAACACAGAAAACCACGTTTAGACGGCAGCTCTACAAATGACCAGATTTTTCAAAATTGCACAACCCGACTGACTCATGACTTCATGACGCATCTTGAATCAATTAGAGCTACAAAATGGCAAAAAACAAACTTTGAACAGAAGTGAGTCCGCAGCAGGCAGGCCAAACGACATAAGGGTGTCACAGGTAGATAAGGAGCCAGAGAGAGTCTACGGCTTCCTGGAGTGGAAAAAAAGAGGAACCAGGGCTGCGAGAAATCAGACACCTCAAGGTGAGCCGGCTTCTGCTACACTGTATCGGGGCTCACGGACTGTTGCGGGAACACTTTGTGCTATCTAAACAGATACCATGTCTTGGATGAACGACTCAAGGAAAGATCTCAAACACAAACAGAAAATTTAAAAAAACTGTCCAAGCAAGTTCATAAGGCATATTTGGTAATGTGAGGCAAGACTATTCTAGAAGCTAGGGACATGTTTATGACTGAAACAAAGAGAAGAGTCACTCATTTGGCAATGGAAATTTGTTTTGGTAAATTTTTGGCCCATGGCCACAAATTTCTGATCGGAACAATGAGGCCAACCTTAGTCTAAACATTCTAATATTGTGTACGATTCAAAATTCAGTTGCTTCTTGGCCAAAGACGCTTATTCGGAAATCTCTTTGACTGGTGTAATTGTTTTGCAATTACACCAATTGTAATTGTTTTGCTAGCTTATTCTTAAGGGATCCTTGAGGACATTTGAATCTTCCTTTGAGAGCAAGTTTAAGTTTTATGAACCCATAGTCTTGTGAGTAACACCTTTCCGTTTTGTGGTTTACATACTCAGATATTGACCTTTGGGTAGTAGCATTGCTTTTCATCAGCCTGGGAACAGACTTAAGGCCAAACTATTTGGTGTTCTCGCAAGTTCAAAATTATACAAGACAGCTGCCAGAGGTAGAAGTTCAAGCAAATGTGTCCAAAATCAAATCTTGTTGACCGTGAGCTCTGAGTGAGTACACTGATGTGGAGTCAAACGTAAGACCATCTGACAGCTACAGATTGCTCGGCTGAAACTGGGCCAAAGAAGACTGGGCCAAAATTCCTCTGCAATGATCTGATAGACTGATAACATCGCACAGAAAACGGTTCCTTCAAACCACCGCTGCCAAGTCCGACTCTGCAAGCTGGTGAACTTTAGAGTTTCCTTCATTTTGTTTTTCACACGCTCCGTCTAGGTTCTCACTGAGTTTGTTAAGAAATTAGAATGTATATATTTGTCATGTATTGTTGTCCATGTGAGACGGCGTTTACCTAATCTTAAAACCTATAAAGACTAGATAAAACTTGGAGGCCTCGGTGTTTAAAGAGGGTGCAGTTCCCCCCATTCCCATGACTGTAGGTCAGCTAGGTTGGAAAAAAAAACGTGTGAAAGTAGACTGGCAACCTTTGTAGGGGGAAAAAAAAAAGCTGCCCTGCTCTGCCAGCCAGTGTGGACGCTCAAGGTAATTTAAAAGCCGACAGCTGACAGCTGCACGGTCCAGCCAACCCCCAGGAAAAAGAAATAACCGAGTCACCACGACATCTTGAGAAAACGCTTCATTATGCATGAGTAAGATGACGCCACGGCAACGTTTGGGCTGATTAATTATTTGTTGCCAGGCACATGGAGGGCCGGTAAAGGGCCTTACTCTTCGGGAGGAGACGAGCACAGACAAGCAGCAAACTGTCGGGCAATGACGATAAAAAAACGTGTGGCTTCTTCATCGGAAATCTGTTCAAGCGCGTCCCGAAACAAAACAAACAAAGAAAAAGCTCTTAATGCTGGTTTAACTTTGATCCATTGATCCGTCTCTATCTGGATTTATCAAACAATATCACTGACACCGCATGCGAGCGGGGGCTTGTGCAAACGCCAGCAGCCCAGCGCAGCTTTAGGGCCTAGGATTGAGTAAACATCAGGATTGCCTTCTCCGGGGGGGGGGCGGCGGGGCCCTGGACACTCTGGACACAAAGCAAACTTAATGTCCTGCCACCAACACCGAGTCTTGATAGTGTCGGATCAGAAAAGTAGCTGGCACGGCGTTCCATCTGCACCATTAAGCTCAGCCATTGCAAACTGGGGGGGGGGGGGGCGCACTGGCCCACGGCTTCTGCAATCAGGCTTAATTAAACCACAGGTTATCGCTAAACAAATGCGAGATAAGGATGGAAACAGACAGAGGCGTTCTGCGTCTGACCGTAAACAGTCAAAAATGACATGTTAGTGGATATAACAAAGGGTAATACTGATATTACATCTAATCCAGGTAAAATCCTGCGCATCGCATTTCAAGGGAAGGGTATTATCTAAGGGTCTTATCTTACCACCGCAGGTGGCTAAATCCGGTATCTGGTGCTGACCGAGTCATATTTTGTGTGTAAACCAACTAAATTATGCAAAAAACATTTTTAAAATGTGCAAACAAAGCAAGTTTAACATGAAAACATATACAATTTTGATGTGAATTCAGCATGTTGTATAGAATTTTATACTCCTTTGCCTTTTCTCGTTCTCTACTGTTCAACAAACACAGCCTGAACACAATAAACCAAATTGGAAGACATCTTAAAACGTCCTGCCTTCTGCATGTGTGCATGGAAAAAGTTGAATGGGAAACAAAAGTTAGTCACATGTAAGGGGACTATTTCCAACCAAGTTCATGTACAAACATCAAAAAGAGAAAAGGCTTCGTCTGTCTCTCTTTGCACAAAGCGCAGCAGTAAATCATGTGAAAGTCTAAAGAATGGCGGTTAAATTTTGCAAACAAAACAAACAGGTTGAACAAGATTTTCTTTCTTTGATGATGACACTGCACATTCGCACAAACGTTGAATGAACTGCGATTAAAAAAAAAATATTCCCAGAGCTCATTTTAAGCAGTTTTAAGAAATACTATAAACGATTAAAAAGGCACATGTACAAGAATAAATGCATCTGTTGAGAGAGCAAATGTTTATGAAAACCAGATAAAAATCTGTGGTATTTAGTGTCAGCCCTCTGCAAGAAAGGCGGTCAAAGTTCAACAGACTTTGTTCTACGGAACAAAAAGAAAAACTCAAGGTGTCCAACGCTTTGTTAAGGGACCTTCATCCTTCTGCGGCGACTGGGGTCGGGAGCTGTGTGCCACTGCTGCTAAACTGTGACCAGAACGAGCGGGTGGAGGGGTCACCCAGTGAGAGATTCCACAGTGGACCTGCTCCAAGTCAGAGCAAGGGCTAAAAATAGAAGGGGCCTGTAGTCCGTGTGCTGGGCAGGCCCGTTTTGTGCATTGTTGGCATGATAATAGTATTACGGCGCCAGAGAAGCACCGTCACATTAGTGCCTCCGACTTGAAGCAGGTGGAAGGTTACGTGTGAACTCTGAATGGTGCGTGTGACTCTGGGTTTTATATTGTTTATATATGATATGGGAGGTATGCTGCCCTCAGACAGGACCATACAATACCTTGTATATAACTGGTGAATTAAAAAAAGAGGGCTGAAGTTGGATTTTAAGTCAAAGAGTCGAAGTACTCAACATTTTCAATACACAAAATGTGCCTGATATGGTTTCTGACAAACCCGGCCTTCCCCTTTTTCATTCTAGGCATTATTTTTATCCATCGCAAAGAGGCCACCACTCTTCACTTTTACTAATGAAAGCCTCTGAGCCTTTTTTGCATCTTTTTGATACAAACCAGGACTCTTTCCTCAGTCTTTCAAACAATGTGTCTCTGATAGGTCTGTGTCGACTAAAAATAGACTTGCAAACCAGCCCGTCGGCTAAAATTAACAGGCGGCTTTTTGTCATTTCTTTGAGTTGGGTAAAGCAGAACAAAATCGCCTGCTAACCCAACAGGCAGGCCTGAATTAAAACAGAGCATACCTCGCAAAAGAGTCCAACCAAAAGAGCCCCAAGCCACCGGCAGGATGTTGACAGGGACACCTTTCACATGTTTGCTGGCTGCCAAACCAGTTCCTGTTGCGTAATGACGGCGGCCGAGGTATGTTCAAGACGCCTCCCCGAACGTTTGGAACGGCTGGGCTTTGACTGAGAGGCCAGAGACCCGGGGGGGGCTGGCTACCTCTCACACTCCCAGCTCTCAGCAGCAAACAAACCGTGTGCTCAGGGCCTGCGCATACCACAGGAAAGGCGATACGGCGCAGACGGGCCCGAGATCGGAGCAAAACGTGAGCATTATCTGTTCCAGCGTTACAGGCGAAGGTTTCCCAGGTAGCATTGAGGAAAGAGCGAGGGAAAGTGGGAGACTTTTTCCAAAGACGAGTCACGTGAGTGTGCACTGGTGAAAAAAAAAGACAGAATTTATAACTAGTGTGCAGAAAAACGTGTCTCAGACACGCACAATGGGGCTTACTGGATGAGTTCTTGAGCTCAACGCTTCAGAGGATCATCGCTGCTTTTTATTACATGAAACAAAGCACGCTGATACTCAAATAACGAGCCCCATGTTCCTGGTTATTGGATGTTTTCCACAACTTGGCGTATTAGACCAGACTTATAGGCCGGCCAGCATTCAAATGTGCTTATTCAACACGGCGCCTGTTGACTAGTCCACATAGCACGTCACAAGAGACACAAGTCTGAATTACACTTGTTCCAAAAGTGCAATAATGCAAGCTTTTAAAACCCCAGCAAATAAAAACCAAAGCCCCCCCTCAAGCCTCATTCGTTTCCCCGAGATGTTTGCCAATGCTCCCATTCACCTGTAAAAGAAAGAAGGAAGAAAAAAGAGAACCAGGCAGGAACAAATTAAAGCTGGATTCACACCTGGGCTCCAAACTCACAAGTTGGGAAGGTCAGATCTTTGGGAGGGGGGCCGACAGGCCGCCACCTGCCCGGCCGCTCGAGAAAGTTTAACTTTTCACCCGCAAGCCAACCGAGCAGAGCAAACGGAGGCCCCACTCAGCTGAGCAGTGTCCCGAATCCCCTCAAAGAAAAGAGGAGAAACTGGTGTAACGCGCCAAAGAAACCAGGGACGGCTTTTCCATGGGCTGTAATGGAAACATGGAATGATGGCAAACCAGCCACGTCATGAAAGAAATCTTTATCTGTATGCGTGCATGAGTATAACCCATATAGGACAGAACTGTAGCATATACCACTTAGAAAACAATCAATTATTGAAAAAGATCCATACAGATCCTTTTAAATGGGATTTTAGACCATTTATAAAGATGGTTTGTTGTTTTTTTTTGTACAAATTGAGTTTATGAGGGAGGGACTTAACCCGTCTTCTACCATGTGAATTTTTCTTTTATTGTCCTTTAAATACTATTTAAAGTGTTTTTCTGCGGGGCCGCTCTTCCACCTGTTTTCAACCTCCATGTGTGCGTTTGTGGAAACTGTACACCAAAGCAGAGGTTGTGTTGTGCCTATAATTGCACGTGCTTGCCTAAGTGGCCCTGCGCTGACCTTCAGGGCCACTCTGCCCCAAAGAGAAAAGCACAGAGATGGATTAACTCTGCCCCTAAGATCATGCTTAGTTTATCATCCCCCCTGGCCTAAATACATAATACCACAGCAAACACGTTCAGACTGTTGACTAAAACAATGATATGTGTGTGAAAGAGATTAAAGGACACGGTTGTCGCCTGGAGAAAGACATGGCAAGCCTTTTTTTCTCTAGTTTTCAGACTCACTCCATCAGAAAAATGACACAGACGGATCTCATGGGCAAACATCACAAAACAATAAAGTGGAATACTGAGAGCCTAGGGAATGCATATTCTGATGCATTTCAGTAGGACTTTTTGGGGAGTTTGTGGTTGCTTTTTGTAGTGGTGGTGGTGGTGAGGGGGTAGGCTATATTCACATGGGTTTGCACAACTGATACCTGGACTTTTGCCGTGCGCCTTTTGGCTACTGTGCCAGGAAATAAATAAATAGAGGCCTTACCTGGTTGGGGTCGGAGGCCTTGAAGACGTGACAGGACATCTCGGACTCCGGGTTGTCCGGCTGGCCCCGGAGGAGGTAGGCGAAGTAGGAGAGGTCATTGCTGTTGTGGATGAAGCGCGAGACGAGCTGCGCCTTGTGCTCGAAAATGAAGACGGACGCGCTGCCGCTGGCGCAGGGCACGCAGCGGACGAAGGGGGGGCAGAGCACCAGCTGGACCTCCCGGGGCTGCATCACGGGACCGCAGTCGCCCCTCTCGCCCCTCCTGCGGATCTCCGCCACCAGCCACGGCAGCATGGGCAGCGTGGTGCGGCTGTCCAGCGAGCTCCAGCCCACGTAAGTCAGGGCGAAGCCTTTGTCCGCCCTCTCCCTCTCGTCGTGACCCTCCATGTCGACCCCCGGCGATTGACAGCGACAGGGGCAATACAAATAAAAACAAAACTTTCAATAATACTGCCGCGGCGCGTGCAGTCGCGTCTAGTTTGGAACACTTTCCGTGGCCACATCCACACTCGGTGGAGAGAGGGACGCGCGGAGCTACACGCCAAACATGTGCTCCCCCCTTTAGATCAGCTGCAAACTCTCCATGATCTTCAATATTTTAAGGAAAAATGAATCCGATGGGGGGGGTTCTCCTCAGTCGACTTACTTCTAGGCGGCTGTGTTTGCGCAGCCTTTATTTCCTGCGCTGCTCCAAAACGTTGCGATGGACGGAGTCAAAAAGCTACAAAAAAAAAAGAGAAACTCTTGCACAGTAGGGCTGCTGTCCAAAACCCCCGGGTCTCACTGCTTAAAACGTGGCTTTGGACGGTTCCTGTGTAAACACAAGTCGCTGGCAGATCTGATTTCTTTGACGTCGCTCCCTTACGCAGCGCTGTTCGCCTTAAAAGCACCCAAAATCCCCCACTGGCCTCAGCTTACTTTCTATAATCTAGGTTTTTTTTTTCGATTAAGAACATTTTTTTAAAAAGCGCACGCACGGATGCCTGTTTATCTCCTTAAAGTGCAGGCTTCTCTCTTTTTGGGATCCTTTCTTCCACAACGCCTTAGAGGCGGAGCGGCTGTGCGCGCTGACGCACCGCCCCGCAGCCCCATGTGCTGAGGAGCGGGCGGAGCGACTGACAGCAGGGAGCTCCACCTTTTTCTGCACGTTACGTGCAAAGCTGCTAAACGCTGTGAGAGGCGTTAGTGTTCCCCCGTGGCCGAGGAAAGTGTTTGGAACCTCTGGGGTACAACTCCCTGTGTGGAAACTCATTACTGGCGCACTACGATAATAAACCAAAAGTAGCCTTGGAAAGTCAGATTTAATATGAAATGTAGTAAAATAAAATATACAAATGAAGGGCTTTTCACCAGGTCTGTTACATTCATATATATATATATATTTGTATATATATATGTACAAAAATATGATTTATATATATATATATAAACGTTAATTTTACAGACCAAATGTGAAGTTTCATCTATATCTAAAGACCATCTTCAGCTTTAAGGCTTCTTTATAATTCATATTTATAATTCACAATTTGATGAGTAACATTCCTTTTAGCGGGAGAAAATGTGTCATGAGTTGTGGATTTTTTGGTTTATTGTGTTGTTTTTCCCACGTTTTAAGTGCCCTACTCGTCAGTTTTATCGTGGGCTCTGACATACTAATAATTGGTTTTGCTATATATGATTTGTCTTTCGCTGGTTTCTGTGCTCCTCCTCATTCCTTTTTTCTAAAGTGTTTTTCCTGTATTGGTCATCTGTTCGCTTCACACGCGCTAATTGTGTCGCCTGCTCTTCAATTTCCACCCTCTCTCTGAGGTTGTCTTTGGTCTTTGTCAGATTCTCAGCCGCTGCCTGTGTGTTTTTTCCTGTTGTCAGGCCGGACTTTTATCCTTTTGTCTGTTTAGTCTGGTTCAGTTTTTGGTTATCTGGCATTGGCCTCTGTCACAGACTTGCTTTGGGTTAAACCTTTGTCTGTGCAGTTTTTTAATCTACTAAATCCCACATGGACTTTGACTGGGCTTCTTCATCAATTCCAGTTTGAAAGACCTTAGTAATGGCTTCTGTTTTTCCATTTCTATAAGTATACATGTATTCTTTTGATTCAGTGGGCTTCCATGCACCCATATCTCTGAGCTCGTAACTTGTTTACAAATCTGCTGCACAACAGTACGTATTAAGGGCTCATACTCAGTTCCTCCCTAATAGCAGTTCACCCCCGTTTGCATCCAGGTCATGTAAAATCAGAACTCCAGACAGCTGTAATCACATCTTATCCTTTGTGTACAGGGGGGGAGTTCTCATGCAATAAACATCATGATTCCTAGAACTCTGCCCCTTTCCTAAAAATAGCACCTGTGCCAAGTATAACTTTATCCCTGAGGGAGTGGACACTGCGGCTGCCCAGACTAGAAGCCCTCTCAGCCCCGGGGTGTATCCGGACTGGGAGGACTGGGCTGTTCAACAGGTTGTCATCAGTCCCCGACATTTATTTAATAAAGTATTTGGTCACGTTTCAGTTGCAGATACTACTAATGCTGTTGTTCATTTAAGTGGCAGATATTATCAAGCTTTAATGTGGGGTCATATGTGGTGTGATTGTAGTGTAATCATTAAAACATCCCTTAAATTAATGTGGGGACTCAACCACTTCAAATGCATTTGGATCCACTTACACCGAGACACTTTACAACATTTAGATAAAGACGATCCTAATTAATCCTGTGTGGGTACATCTACTAATTTAAAAGGAAGCAGTAAGTTAAATCTACCATCAAGTAACTGCTCAGAGCTGTTAAGTAGAGATTATAAAGGGGAAACAATTAAGATTTGAGCATGTTCAATCAGTGTAGCTGTGAATTCAAATTCTTCACTAAAAATAAAACACAACAATCTAAAAAGGAAAAATCTTCTTTTTTCAGTAAATCGATTTAAAAGTGAGTGAAGGAAGCTTAAAGTGTGAAAGGTTTTTGGATATTATAACATATATTATAACATATAATATGTGTAGAATAGAACTGATCCACTAGTGCATAAATCTAGTCTAAATTCTGTGTGTTGTTTTCAGTTAGCACGTTGGTACCAGCCGAGTTAGAAATCACAAGTGAACTCCGGGCCTTTCCAAATTTGCTGTTTTTCTGGCCATGCTCAGAATTTTGAGTGAGTCATCACAAAGGCTTTTAGAGCCAGAGTAAATATCCTCTTAAATTCGAGTCACGGGGAGCAACTTCTGTGCAAACTGTCTCTCATAAAAAGGTGGGAAAGTGCCTCACTGTTCATGAATAGAAATCTTGGTTCTAATAACAGGGCGCAGAGTGTGAAGGACACTGCATGCTTCAGTACGGTTTCCATCAACCTCACTAAAGAGGGCTAAATGATTCCGATGAATAGGACCGAATATTCTTTCATCAGGTTGTACCAGAGTGAATATTTTAAGCAAGGGTTCCATTATGCGTGTCTTCGAGCTCAGTTTTGGCAGTTAAAGAGGACAAAAGAGTGGTTATATCAGTATGAATGAATAAAATAAGGAGGGAGCTGACATTTATAGATGTCACCCTGAAAGTCTTTTTATCCATCAAGATGGCTTCCTCTCTCCAGAGACTGAGCAAAGGGAGGGGGGGCTTCTGCAGCATTCTGTAAAGCACATTAAAAGTCCAACTTCCTTGTGTATTTAACATTTAGCTGTCTTTCTTTGGGTCTTTTGTATTAATGTTAGAAAATCATAACGGCCCATTCTCTCATGTTAATGACCAACATCTTTTTGTTTGTTTTAGAACACGGTATCTAAGGCGTGACAGGATTTCATTATGATTTCATTTTAAGTGACAAACCACATATTTGTAAAAAAAAATCTTAAATGAAAATAAAAATTAAAAATGTAGATAATTCATTTCTTAATTTATTTTCTTATTCAGGAAAATGTATAGTTTTCAAGATGTTACATAAATGCGGTGGAGTTAAAAATGTACAAAATATCTCTCTGAATCAGTAGCTGAAAGCAGAATGAAATGGAAAATGGTTCAAGAGATGTAAAGTGCATTAAATTCAGATATATACAAAAAACAAAGGCATTTGATTTTAGAAGCATGTACACGAACTAAGAAACCTAAAAAATAAAAAAATTGACATTACTATGCAGCTGTTGCATTATGGATTTCTCTTACCAAAAAAAACAAAAATAACAAGCTGAGAGTTGACATTTGCAGTAATTCACATTGTCACTTCTCAACAGATGGGAGACAAACGTTTGTGTCCGGCTGCTCCTTCCGCCTGCTACAAAATGGGAGAAAACAGTCAGGCGTTCCATCCATCACACCGTCTCCATGTGAGCTGCTATCTCCTTGAACTCCTTGTGAAAATTCTGGGGATAAAAAAAAAAAAAAAAAGATTAATTACAATATAGGACACAATCGAAATGAGGCTGAAAATTAAAAACAGAGAGGTTGCTACCGTAAATCCTGGTCTATAAGCCGCTCCTTTTTTTTGTTATTGCTTTGCACTATTCCGAGAGTTATACTATATTGTGATTGCACTAACGTTTGATTTACCATAATGGTATCAGACGTGTTTACGTGTTTACTGAATCGAGGACAAGGTCTCCTCCACTATGTGATAAAAATGTTGCACTACCTATTATAAAAGAGAAACTGTGTCATGAAAACACTTTTACTGACATCACCTTGGGAAAAAATTTTATTAAAACAGCTGTTTATTCATTTTGGGAGTGAACGGAGTTGTCAGAACGCTGGTTTGTATTCTATTAATAAAGTTAGACTGACTTATCTGACTGTTTTGTTGGCATTCTCTGTAGTGTAGCTGCATCTAGCTGCTTCTATTCTATGCATTTTATAATCTGGTGCTCCTTATAGTGCGGAAAATACGGTAAATTCCTGCCCTAAAAAGAACAACAACCTGGAACTGGGGAATGGTCATCTCAAAAGACCGCTGGCAAATTTGTCCCGAGGGCTCCAGAATCTTCAGCAGCAGAGTCACGTAGGGCAAGTTGAGAGACCGACAGGTGTCCGAGCTCACCGCCATCCCCAGCTTCCAGTCCATGTCCACCAGCTACAAGACACAAGAAGTAAGTCACAACTGATTCCCCTAAAGTCAGCTCATCCGTTTCATGTTTGAGAAAAGAAGCCGGAGGGCGTCTGGGAAGTGAACCTGGACGTACTTTGCCGACGCTGAGCATGGTGCGGACCTCCTGCTGAGCGTGGACCAGCGCACCGTGTTGGCCCCACACCCCGTGCAGCACCTGAAGGCAGCATTTGGACCACTTGGAGCTGCCTCCTTCCAGCTTGGTCACGAGCTCATCTGGAGATAAGTTGCTCTTCCCCCCTGACCTGCACGTATAAAGCAGCCGATGTCACACCTCACAGCAGAGCAGCGCGCCTCTCAACGCCTTTCAGGATTTGGCTTCATTATCAGTTATCAATAGTATGAAAAAAATACCTGAATGTGAAAGAAAGAAAGCTGATGATGCTCTGCAGGGTTTTGTGATCCAGTCTCACATCGGCCCTCTGAAATGTCTGCACGGATGATAAAGATAAAAAACAGATAAACTTTAAAACTTTAAAAAAAAAAAAAGTGTTATCATCATTTAGCGAAAAGAGACGGAGATATAAACGTCAACTTACTTGAGAGATTTCAGCTGAATCTATTCCGCTCGTGTTCCCTTGTAGATAAAGTAGAATGTGCTGACACTGTGGAGACGATCAGATTATTTCTAAGAGCCACAGTTTAACCTCACTGGTGGCAACACCACATCCTGTGTGATGGTGCAAGACGACTGCTAATGGCTCTACAATGAACAACTACTGAATTACGTTTCAGGTCTAACCTCTATTGTAATTATGTTCCCACAGAATTGTGTCATCAGCTCCTAAAACCATGGACACTTCAGAGGTCCACACTATGCTCAGGGATATTATTGATATGATGCAGATAAGAGATCTGCAGCTTGTAAAATGCAAAGCGTAAAGAATCTCTTCTAAGCATTTGCACATGACTGCTACATTGTAAGATGTCTCTTTGTCACTCATTTTGCCTCCAAATGACTGGAAAATACTTACTGTCGACGTTAAGAGATCTGGGGGGAGCCTACAGATGTTTTCTACCACTGTGTTGGCACCTGAAATTCAGAGCGGAATGAGTTTATTTACCCTCAGATTAAAACATTTTTTGTGACAGCAACCAATGCTAATAAAATTCTCCAGAAATATCTACATTATCATGTTTTTTTGTTTTTTATTCAAGCAGTATTTATGTTATGACTAGAGTGGACATGGCTGGCAAAACAGGTTTTTTGTTTGTTTTTTCTTTGTACATAAGATCCAGCTCCCATTAGAAATATAATATTGACAAATCTTGTCACAAAGTACTCTTTTTTTATTGTTAACCTTTCAAGGAAAAAGGTGTTTCAAAAAGCACTGACTGCCAAACCAAGTTGAAACAATACAATAAAGGAGGCTAAGAAAACTACTTCCGCCCGTTCCAATTTAAGTCGGTCGGTTAAAAACTGTTACTGTGTTTATAAATGATAAGGTAGAAATGATAAAGTGGGAAGTAGAAAGGTAACCGGGGTGAGTGAGGCTGGCATCACCAAATAGCGCGTTTAAAATACGCTTAATAAATCATGAAGGCTAACACCAGCGACAACCTAAAATAAAATTAACTGAAAATCTCCAAATAGTGCCTCTGAGGCTCTTTTATTACTCACCGTATGATTCCTCCGGTGCTGGCATCTTAGTTTACGGTCAAATCGCGGAATGAGGTTACAGTTGATCGCCAGTCCAGCTCGAATTGGCAACCCTTCAGGTCTCTATTAACGAGTTTATGAAAATGTGTTCTGTCGTTGCATAAAAAACAACTACGCACAAAATATGACTTTTTTGCAGATTTGTCTTTCGTTCTCTTAGGTTACTAGCTAGGATCTTCTTCATTAGCGAATGCTAATGCAGTGCACAGGCCGTGTGAATCCAGGCCTACCGCCACCTACTGTACCGGAGTACCATCTAGCTGTAGCAAAAAACAAACAAACAACAAAAACAAACAAACCAAAAAAAGTGAATACTCTATGTTGATGTGTGGCACCTATTAGAAACAGCATGGTGAAGAGAATAGTTTTGTGCCTCAAACCTTTGGTAGTACCAAACTAGAAATCGCGTTACATACAACCCCAACCCTAAAATGCAGGAAAATACCGGAATGCTTCACGTCTGCAATTTCATTTTAAGGTTTAAAATGTTGTGTTTAATTCATATACTTGCATTCATTATATAAGTGCGATTATTCATGTTTTAAAATATTCGTCCCAAAAAATGTCGTCATTGAATTGATTAAACAACAACGTCCCCGTCTGGTGGGCGCACGTTTGGTGCTCGAAAAGAGTTAGGTGCTTGAATCAGATTTTTTTTAAAAGCTCATTTAAATTTAAAGAATTAATTTTTTTTTTTAATTATTCGCCGAATTAAACAGTTCATTTGAAATAATTTGTTCCACAAATAACTAAATCAAACCACGCCTACAACTTTGGAATGTTCCATCCTTGCATTTCGGTTTATTTATGGGTGTCATTTGAAGATTCATAGTTTATTTTTGTTTAAATATAACGAAATAAACAACTTTCTATGAGACAATACTATAGTCACTGCTAATAAGGCATGAATTCTATCTCTGTAAACCAATATAGTTAGGTTACAGTATGTCTACAGTTTTTTTATGTTTGCAAATCACCCCTACGTGTTAAGGTAGACTCTATAGACACGGAAGCGTTTCCCAGCTGTCAAACAGATTTTTGTAAATCAGCTTTGTCTCACTTTTAACAGGAGCATAACATCCTTACCCTAAGAATGGATTCCCCACGCTGGTTGCCACTGGAGTCTAACCCAGAGGTATGTGCCCTTGGGTTTTTTAATAGCCCGTATTATACTATCGAAGTAATTCATTTGCAAGCATGTGATGGCCGGCTAACTCATAGCTAGCAAAGAACAAAAGCTGAAACCGGTGTGGTGCCTTACAAATATGACGACGGTGTGACTAATTATTTTCATTTGTGTCTTTTCATTTCAGGTCATGACTAAGGTGAGTTATTTTAAAAGTTTACTATTAAAAGATTTAACAGGACATTCAGGTCATTGTTAGCTGCAAATCGGTTCACAGAGGCACAAGGCCTACTCTGCAGCGATCTACATAAAATCTAACATTTTTATTACAAATATATGGTATAAAGTCATCTAATAATATATTGTCTGGAAGAAGTTAGCATTCCCACTCATAATCATTGTGTTTGCTAAAAGTTAAACGTTGTAGTTTTCTTTCACAACTTTAATACATAATAACACTATCTCTTCATATATTTCCTTTAACATTTCCACCACAATATATTGTTTAGCTCGCAGTTGTGTTTTGGTTTTAAGAATCCAACTGCAACCCCAGACTCACACCAAGTTTATGCACGGTCAGGGGGCTGGTGTATTTGAAGAATGACGACCGTGCACAAGGTTATTGTGATAGATTAGTGAATGTAAAATGCTAGAGAAATATTTCTAAGGAACATATTTAAATAATAGTTTTGTCAGTTCACTTTAATCTGTCTTGTCAGTGCAATTCCTACAGAGAAGGTAGAAATTTTCTTCAAATTTCCCAGAAGTTTGGGCAGCTCACACAAAATATTCCACCAGTAAATATATGGTTTATTTAATTGTTTTTACTTTAAAATGTATTCTATCCCATATGATTTCTTTTTTAAACAGTCAGTTGTTCACTACGGCACATTCCGTATTTAGAAACTACATGCGATTTTATCTTTCATTTAACTTTGTCCAGTGATATTGATGTGCATGCCAGTTTATTGTCAGATTGTGTTTAGTTTGTCAGCTGTTTGGGTATGAAGCCAACCTGGCAGTTTGGGGATGTGTATGGACTGGATCCAGAACTTCTCAGCATGGTACCAAGGCCTGTGTGTGCAGTGCTTCTCCTCTTCCCTGTCACAGAAAAGGTACTTTTTCCTCACTCAGCATCTCATTACTTTGTATTTCAGTTTACCAAATGGTCATGTTTTACCCTGAGTCATGTCTTTGCACCAAGAAGCCTTGTTTTAGTATTGTTCATCTTGTTTATCAGTATGAGGCATTTAAGCAAGAGGAGGAGGAGAGACTCAAAGACCATCCACAGGAAGTGTCCCCTGATGTCTACTTCATCAAGCAAACTATTGGAAATGCTTGTGGAACAATAGGATTGATTCATGCGGTGGCAAACAACCAGTCACACCTGGAATTTGGTTAGTATTTATTATGTCAGCATAATCTTTAACTAAAGAAAAGAATGACAGACACCACCTTTGAGCCGTTATTCCTCTTTGAAACAAGATGTCTTGAACATAAGCACTGCATTTAGATGTTCAACTACTTGTTACTGTGTTCAATGACAATAATATTGTATCTAATCTATATAAACAAACTGTTTTTTAAATGCGCTGTGTATTCTGTCTCCAGAGGCTGACTCTCCCCTTAGAAAGTTTCTCGAACAAACGTCTAAAATGACCCCAGAAGAAAAGGCCACTTTCCTGGAAAAAGATGAGGTAAGAAAATGCTGGAAAGAAAACCCTGATGCAAAGTGATCAGACCAAGGTGTTTAAATTTGGGTCCCACTTGTCTCTAAAATGAGCATGTCTCCCTGTAAGCACCTAAGCCTCAGTGGACAGTAACTGTCTTTGTGTTGCTCTGAGTTATTGGATCAGAAACAGCAAAATACCTGATAGTTTTTTCTTCTCTTTTATCTCACTCTAATTCCCATCGTTGACAGCTGTTAATTTGAGTGTTGGTTACTGATTTAGCAGCATAGTGCGACCTCTGTAATGCGCCTTTACAAAGCTTCTTTTTCTCTCTGTGTTTTAAGCCACACGGGTCCTATTTAATCATCTTACTTTGAACAGAAGAAAAAGGCCGGGTTAACAGGGTTTTGAAAAAGTTTTTAATGTCAGTCAAAAGTCTGATCAGATCATTAATTTACTCACGACAATTACAATTAAAATAAATAACAGCTTTGGAGGTGATGGGCTAAGAAAACTTATATCCAAAAGTAATGGTTCAAATGAGCATGAAGAGCATCCCAATAATAAGTCTAACTTGTCTTTCCTTTGTCCTCCTACAGAGTATACGTGTTACACACGAATCCAGTGCGCAGGAGGGACAGACTGAGGTTTGCTTTAAGTTTTTCTTCTTCTTTTTTAAGCAATGTTGTGCATGATGTCCATCCAAATTAAATCTGATTTACTGAGCTGTTTCTGTGGATCCCGCACAGGCCCCGAGTTTAGACGAGAAAGTGAATCTGCATTTTATAGCTTTCGTGAATGTCGGAGGACACCTACATGAACTAGGTGAGTCAGTGAAATCCAACGGACGTTTGTCCCTAGATTTTATGACAATTATCATGTTTTTGAGATTTTTAACAAACTTTTAAGAATCATGAATCCACCAGATGAATAGTTTTTTGTTGTCCCCCTCCTCCATAAATAGATGGCCGGAAACCTTTCCCGATTGTCCATGGAAAAACCTCAGAAGACACTTTCCTTGAGGTAAGGCATAATGGAACATGTGTGGCTGCGTTGTTTTGGTGCAAGCTGCAGAGCCTCCTGTGCTCTTTAATGCTTCAGCATTAGAGATTTCTCTCTTCCTATGGAACTTGAGCCAGTTGCTCAAACTTATTTTCCACCCGCTGAGCTAAAACGACCTACAAACACCATCCAAAACAGGTTGGAGCCGAGCAGGAGTTAATGTTTCGCTTCTGTCTTCTAGGATGCCGTAGCGGTTTGCAAGGTCTTCATGGCTCGCGACCCTCAGGAGGTTCGTTTCACCATCATTGCTCTGTCCAAAGATTCATATTGAGGCAGCTCTTTTGAGACCCCAAAAAGCAAAGAAAACTTTACTGCCAAACATTCTTAAGTGCTGATGATTTAAGTTTTTTTTTCAGAACACTGACACCCATAAAATGCAAAGATAATAAAAAAAAAACAATAATAAAAAAAAAAGGATTGCCAGGTTTAGCAATTTGTTCATTGCTGTTTATCTAAAAGTTTGATGTGTGATCATAAACCTCCCAACTCCTTAAAGCTGTAACATACAGATGTGAGCTGCCCGTCATTTACACTGCACGGTGGTTTGTGTTCAGCTGCAAGAAAGATTTGTTTGTTTTTTTCTGTTTAGAATGCAATGATGGTAACTGTAGTGGTTTGCTTTTAAGGGATTTGCACAACCACGCGGTCGAGCTGAACATAACTAAAGCGTTTTGCAAGGCTTAAATGACCTGCTTAGGTTCGTGAAGCTAACGCGGCAGTAACTGTGCTTTGAAAAGCTTATCGACAAACACAAGTACTTTACCGTAATTGAGGCTTATTAAACATGCAAAATATACATCTGTGTGGAACGTGCCTACGTTTTTGTAAAGAGCTGAGATTCTGTCAAATAAAGGGCAAGTTTATAAAACAAGTTCAGTGATTCTTATCAATTATTGCAACCCGATATATGGTTGCCTGGAGGTTATTGTTTTATACAAGTTGAGCAGGCCTCATTAGGACCATTACATAGATTTGCGTCATGGCCTATATTCTCAAAGCTTTATGCATTCAAATTCCATAAAATGCTAAAAGATAGATCTTTTTTCACTGTATGAAAAACATTTTTTTCCCCTCAAATGTAAATCAGAACTATTATAATGTGAAAGGCTTTGAAATTAAGAAACCTTTATGGCTGGCCCATGACGAACCACGGTATGGTTTTATTTTAATATCTGTAATGTCGGCTTTTTGCCACTGGGGGGCGCTGAATCAAAGACATTTGCTCGACGCAAACGACCAGCCTCATTTTTTTTTTTTTTTTACCTAGCAGTCCACAAAACTAAGTTTTCTTTCATGTATTCCATTTATCAGATTTTTTCTGGTCCACACGGTCTTTTTATTTATTTATTTTTTACTGAAAATGTCAGCGGTTTGCTTCTGCACGAGCTTGCACAGAATCATCTCGCTCGCGCTATATTGTGGCAGTAGTAGGGGGGAAAAAGGGGGGGGATTTAAATGGTCTTCGGCTGTTTGTTCACCTGGAGGCCTGTAGATGGTCCTCGGACCTCACTTTGGAGACCCCCCCACCCCCACCACACCCTACCCCACCCCCCCCTCACTCCCTCTCCGCTCCTCGGTGCCTGGAGCTTAAGAACCGGAGTCTTTCTCCTCTCCGGCGGAGCTCCGGCCGGCTCACCCTGATCGGCGACTTTCGAGGCGGGGTGGCGAAACTCCCGAACTGGCACAGGTGTGTCCAATGACCGGACAGGTAAAAGGCCACGCCACGGCATTTCTCACCGCTCTCACCTGGCGATTGCGCGCACCGGACACTGGACTTAACGAGCTCACCTGCTCCGGAACCGAGCGCCTTATCCCGGTTCTGATAAAGTGATCGTTGTGTTTGCGTCTGTGAGTCCGCCCCCCCACCCCCTACCCTCCTCCCTCCCGGTGGATCACGGATACGCGCCTCTGTGATGGAGTGGCGTGAACAGTCCTCAGTCGGCTGCGTCCCGGCCTACGTGGAGGCGCACAGGTGGATCGAGGTGAGTGGAAAACACCCTGAAAACTTTTTATCCCAACTTTCTTTCGGGATTCGGACCTGTTGTTTCCGTGAGCAGTTTTTTGTTTGCTTTATCTGTCTTTTACCAATGATCAGAGGTGATAGCGTTTGGCTCCATCCTCCAAAACATCCCTTGCTGGGAGGCAGATTTATTTATGGCTGTGACAGATGTTTTTGTGGGAGGTGGGGAGGATGCATGTGTTACCTTTTGACCCGAAGTCTCAGGTAACCATTGAGATCAATCATTTTCTTTTAGAGACTGGAAATGACTCGGCTTTGCCATGTTCCCTTTCTCGGCTCCTCACTCATCACCACGTCTTTTGTCAGGTCTTGTAGAGACCTGCTCATCGGTTCTTTCAAGTTCTGAGAGCTTTGAGGCTCCAGTTGCAAAGCAATTAAGACAGTTTTCCCAGATTATGTCTTAAGTATTCTTTCAGTAAGTACTATCAAAGTTTTCTGGTTTTGACATGTTTCAGAGTGGTACATAACAGAGGATGGATGATGCTCAACAGGAATTCTGGAAAATTGTGTCAGGGGTTAATTTTTCTCAGGGGGAAAACAAAAACCCCAGACGAGTCACCAGAATTGACTAAATCAGTTTAATTTCATTTCCAAAATGTCACATTATGTAAAGTTTCCACCCAGCTTTCAGCCAAACACTGGTTCTTTTTTTTTTCTTCTTCTTCTTCTTTTTCCCCCCCCCCACTCTCTTAACAAGCGGGAAAAAGCTCGTCCCCCTCATCTCCCGGATTCCCGGCCCAGCGTGGCGGCGTAGAGCTGCTGCATGGCTGTAACTAAACAAATATTGTTCTAAATTTCACGATGGGTGAATCTGAATGCCTTGGACGTGACATCAGTGTCTCTCACATTTGCACACTGGCCCATTGTGGTGGCCCGGCTGGTGGACCGAGGTGGAGAGGGAGGGGTGGGCAGAAAAATCTAAACCTAGCAGCTGAAAAGGTAAAGGCCGCAGGGCCGTTGAGAAACCTCTGCAACAGTCTCACCTCAGTGGGAGAGCTTAGTTTTAGTTTTTTTTTTTTTAGCTGCTTTTGAATTCTACCCACTGAATGATTAACAAACTGCTTGGCTTTGCGGTGTTTTAAACAGAGGCACGCGTGCATGGCAAAGGTAGGTTTTTAAAAAACTGGACTAAACGGTCTGGAGCCTGTCACATGGACGCATTCCTGCACCGGCTGTGAGCACGCTCCCCTCAGAGCCGGCCGTCCGTCGGCACAGTTTACCACGTCCAACCACCCGAGGACTCGTGGTGCCTCCTGTTAATTGAAACTCTGCAGCCAGTAAGACACGGGCGGAAGATTTGGTGAAACAGTGAGGCGGCACCTTCCCTGGACTCTGATTAGCCATCACAAAAACCAAGTGAGAGTATGTGGATCTGGACGTTCATCTTAATCCAGAGAGGCATTTCTTAACTTTTTGTTCGGATGTAAAGTGAAAGCAGGAAAACTTTTGCATTCCCCAACAGATTAAGTCTCCCACAGAACCTCCCCGGGTCGCTCGCAGTTGGCTCTAGCCTAATTCTCACCAGGAAAGCTGCTTTTTACTGTAGAATCAGCGGCATAAGCAGCTCCTGCAGACATGACTCTCATTGAATTGTCATTCATATGAAGAAAATCTGTTATTCTCCTCCCCAGAATTTGGCATCGCAAAGTTGCGAAGGACATTCAATCTGCTTGAATGTAGATTAGCATTCTGGAAACAAGTAATTGCTCATGGATTTTTATGTTATTTTTATTTGTGGCAAGTACTGGGTTGGGTTGAGTATGCTCAATAATTGTTTAATATTTTCTGATCAAAAAATAATTTGATTCAATGTTGTCTCAAGTTCAAGAGGTAACCATCAGAACAACTTGAGAAACCTTAAATTAAATTATCATGGTTCCTATAATAAGATAATGATCTGTAGCACATCCAATCTGAATAAATAAATGAGCAGGCTAGCTCAGGAGATGGGAGCTCAGGAAAACTGCTCCGTTCCCACACCGTCAAAACATAGACGGGAGGGCCTGCACCATGACTTAAAATGATGGAGTTGAAAAGCCTTTTTCCTGGAAGAGAGCAACAATTCCCAAAAAAGAAAATATGAAAAAACACGATTGGATACAAAAGGGTATTTTTATGATGCGATTCGTTCGCTGCTTCTCGATACTGGCCATGTTCAAAATTAGCTTCAAGCACTTTATGTGGGATTTGGAAACTGCAGATCCCTTAAATACATAGAAGTGCATCGTCTTCCCTTTTTGTTTTTGGAAATGGGATCCATTTACTCAGCTCCTCGCAGTCTGAGAATGGAAAATCTGTGCCAACCTTTAGCGTGGCGCTGTAAGAATTCACGAGCCCAGGTCAGGACATCAGATCCACAGTTTTGGTGCCCCCTCCTCTGTTTGCTCTGACTGAATGATGTGTTTTCTCACAGAGCCTTGCAGGTCCGACCCACATGAATTAAAATTCCTGTTGAAGCCGAGCTTCATTGCAGCTGTCTGTCTTGATTTTTTTTAATTTTTTTTTAGGTCTGGTAACAACCCAGGCTGGAATCTGTCTGAGATTTCCACTCTCGTTTTGATGTTGAAGCTCTATATGTGTGTGTGTGTCAAGTTGGGAAGCATGACTTTGTGTTTCATATTGTCTTGAACAAAGCAGATGTCAGACGGTAATGCAATCCTGTGAGTTTTTTTCAGGTTTTGTTCCTAATCCTGTTGTCACAGTCATTCAATACTGCACAAACTTCCTTTAGGTTTCTGTGTATGCTGAGGAAGCATTATTCTATAGTTTTATTTTCATACTATAAATAAAGTTGTTTTTTGGGTTTGTTTTTTTTTTTTAAATCATGCTCTCATTTTGTATTCTGAACTTAAGAAGGCCTTAGCTAAGATCTGTTGTTTGTTGTTTTTTTTATCTTGAGTCTTTATTTTGAATGACTTTAAGTAGACTGGAATGGTAGTTTCCAAAGGTTATGGGCCACAACTATAGGAAATGACTACTGAAGATTTTAACTGAAACATCTGTACCTTTTTAAAGTCACACTGAGAGTAATCCACATCGTGCAAACATTTTTTTTAATAACCTTTTCTGCTGCCGATAACAATGTAGGTCTGTGGGCTTGATCACAAACACAAATTAATATTTTTATTAATATTTCAGATGTATTTGAATAGGTTGGCTTAGAGGTGGTTTGCCCTCTGAGACGGACTGTTAGCTACAGTAGAAGCTTCAATGGTGAACTGATCACCGGTCAACTCACTGTGGCCCCACTCCGGGTCTTTTTTTGACTGTTTTGACAGAAAGCAATTAAAACTGGGGCCCTTCGGCCGTACTGACGTGAAACAGGCCCTCTCAGTCCAAATCATTCACTTGCAGCACATGTCGGTGTAGCAATATTGGCTTCCACTGTGGTATATTTTTCTTGAGTCAGAAACCTGAAATGTTTGTATATTGTCTCATTTGGCCTCTTGAGACCCATGCAATCAGGACAAAGAATTTTTTTTTAAACAGTCAGTGGCTGCGTCGGCAGAAAACCGTCAAATAAAGCTTTGCCTCAGTGACTGTGGTCATGGAGCCTCACATCACATAGGCTCCACCAGGATACCGCTCACGGGTCACTGCAAAAACAGCAGTTAATTCCACGCAAATATCAGAACTCTTTCGTAACTCATAATAAACTCTGAGAAGCACATTTTCTTCTATTTAAGAAAAACAAGAAAAATTCTGGAACTGAGTTCCCACTTATCTGAGGCACATTCTTGAGGAGAAAAGTGGATTTTTTTTCAGGAAGGCGAGCTGTTTTTATTTTGGTTTTTCTCTAAAATCTCAGTTCCTGCTTGAAGTCTTAGTTAAATCATAGCGGCTGCATGTTGTTTCAGAGCAGAGCCATTATCCCACATGACTGGTTCAACATGAGAGGAAAAAAAAACCCACCACAGGTTGGAAATTTGCGGAGTTAAGTCCTCTAATGATGCTATTAGGGAAGAATGTTATCCTACGGCATCCAGCCCACCGCCAAAGTGGATCCCACACTTTGACCGAGAGATAACATCTCAATTGTCCTCTTCACTTTGATTTGCTGGTGTGGATGCGATAAGAACGTGCGGGTGGGGGGAGGTGGGGGGGGTGACATCAGCGTGCCACCCTTTTGGAAACGGCCTGAAAGACGGGGTCATATTTGCAGCGCCGGCTTCCAGCGTCATTGTTTGTTTGCATGCGATTTCCAGTTGCTGCCCCACGTCTATGGAACAGCAGGGGTCAGGATTTCATATGCCAGAGGCAGCACCTGACTGATTACGCCCCATTGTGTTGTTGTTTTCGCTGTGTGCGAACATGCGAGCACGTTTGCAGCTTTGCGTGTCAAGTCTGAATTCCTGTTTTGATTTTTTTTCAGAGCCAGGTTATTGTTATGTTGTTGTTGTTTTTTTTGTTTTTTTTCATCAATGAAAAAACGAGCCGGCCATGGTCTTGGGATGGTTACTAAACAAAGCCAGCATCTCCTCACTAATGGCTGAATCTCATTGTACAAATACAGAAAGGCCACAAGCGTGTGAGAGCTTAAATCTGATTAATCTATCGCAGCATGGTCTAACGCTCATGGAATGATGAGTATTTGAGGCTTTGCCATCTTAGGTTACTCAGGGTGTGTTGTGAAGTGTAAATAACAATGCAATGAAAATAACAATGATAGTGGATTCCAGTCCGCCTTAAATGTCCTCCCCATAATGACGCCCTGTACTTAACTTTTCATGTTCGTTTGATGCCTCAGCTTTAGAGATTTCTCCTTTTTGTTGAAGTAGAACACAGAAGGACAGAAACAAGGTGCGTTATGATTATTGTAGTTAAGTGGACCGGTTGTGCTCTCTGCCCAACCGTGTGCAGGTATGTTGTGATTATGAAAGCTGAACTTACTCCCTCTTGCAGTGTAGATTTTGTATTATCACCGTTCTTCAAATGTAAATTTGTAAGCCTCACAGACGGCCCTTATGTGATCGTATTTTTAATTGTTTTGACGCCTATAAGAGAGCGGAAAATACAGAGTGGTAATTTCCATCTCCCCACTGATTTGTGACATCAAACAATATGGATTTCCATCCCTGTTTGAGAAAGGCCTGCTGAACTAAGTGGGTTGAATAATCCTTTTACCACCTCTGAAATTACTTTGATTTGCAGCTATAAAAGCACCACAAAAAAAAAAAAAAAAAAAAACGTTCTCACATGACTCCACAATGCAGAGTCTGGCCAAACCACAGAGCTACGAAACCATTGAAAGAGACGTCCAAAGCATAACAAATCTGTCTATTGTTGCAGCATTTGTTGTTGTTGTTTTGGTTTATGTAAATGCGACTGTTGTAGATCAAACCTGGTCAAGTGTGTCCCGCCGTGCGCCACAGATGCAGCCCACAGCCGCTGATGTCAGCTAAGCATGGCTTTATCTAAAGAGGAAGTCAGCGCTTGACCGGTGGGAGTGCTGGTCTGCGCATCGACCTTTGATTTATTGAAAGGAATCTAAATGCCCAACGTGATGAAATAGCGCTGCAAGTTCCTCCTTTTAATCCGGCGCGTCGGAAGAGGTGCCGGGTCCCAACTCGGCCCGGGCCACAGGTGGCAGGGCTCTGACCGATCTCTCCGAGAACAACATTCAGCCTCTTCTTTGGGCTGCAGGAATTCCACAATTTAATCCCATCAAACGTTTTTTGGGGGGGATTTTCCGAGCACCCGCAACTGACAGCCCTCCTTTAACTGTAACAGGCCGTATGAAACAAAGAATATACGCTTTTAAGACAGATGACATACAGATGCATGTCTTTGAGGTCTTTAAGTGCCCTAAGATGACATTAAATAATGTTTTTAGGAGTAAAAATGACAAATCAATGTAAATTAGTTCTGCAGTGGAACTTGACGAGGGCCTGGACTCTGAGTCACAACATCTGCCAGAGATATTTCAGCCTGTTTTTATTCTTTGTTAAAGCGTTCAAGGATAATTTCATGCCATATCTGACACTGACGTCAGTCGAATACACTGGAAGGTCGGATGGCTGAAAACCAAAGAGAGGACCCACTGTAGAAAAATAGATATAGCCTTGTAATATAAGATAAGCATTGCAATAGAAAATAAGCACAGTTGAACTTTTTCACTTCTGATTTTGCACAACCGTTATGCAGTTTGATCACTCGCATGAAAAGACTGCGGAACTTGTACCACAGACTGGATTTTGTCAGCTGTGGGTTGTGTCAGGTCAGGTATTTGATTGAGAAATATTCTGAGCAGAGCAGGAAGCTCGGTCAAGGAGTGGCTATCGGCATGAATCGGACATCTGATAACAAACTTGCAGCCCCACATTAAAAACATAAAAGCTGGCAGTGACGTGTCCCCATCCCCCCCCCTATCTGTGGAAGAAATAAGGTTGGAATTGGTGTCGAATCTACGTCGAGCCTCACTGTAGAAGTCAAGGCTGCCGTGGATTTCCTTTTTGTGCTGTACGTGTGCATGTGTTCTAGTGCACAGAGCTGCCGGCCGTGCATGCAGCGAGCGGCTTTGCTTACATAATGGCTCTCGGTGTTCCTGCAGCGGTGGTTTGAGATCATGGGAAAGGCATGGGGCCGGGTTACTGCAGTGCTCCAGATGCTGCGGATTGAACTCGCCTCTCCCTGTTTACGGGGCAGCTTTCGGAGTTACAGTGGGCTAAGAGCTGAGCCCGTCGGGACCTCCTGAGGGAATACCTGAGGAACTGCGCTCGACTCCACCCCGCCGACACACAGTGTAGGAACTCGGGAGGAAATACCTCCGACTTCCTCTGCTACTGTTCTCAACATCCTACCTTTCTTCTCCAGCCTCCCCACCCCTCTCTTCACACTCGGCCCACCACACGCCTCCTCTCCTCACCCAACCCCTTCTTGCTGTTTTGCTCACTGTTCTTGTATTGCTTCTTTCTTTTTCTTTTTTTTTTTTTCTCCAGGCAGTAACCAAGAAAAAATTTGGGAGCAACGACTTCCGATCGGCGCTGGAGAATGGCGTTCTGTTGTGTGAGTAAGTACTCCGCTTTTCCCAGGCACCTCTCCTAAGCCACTTTATTCACAAGGAACCCCTCTGCTCTCCTCCTGGTCTGCTCTCCTACGTAAGTGTTGACTGATATTTCCCAGGCGGACCCCCTGCCAAGTCGGTTTTTATTTGTTAGTCACATGAAGTGATCCAGTGTTTCCAGACAGCATGATTCAGACTGTAATGAGAAGTTATTTTTCTCTTATCATTGTCAGCTTTTACCCTGTTTTGTCTTCTTTGAGTGGTGTGATCTATTTTAAAAGAAGCTGTCTGCTTGACACATGTTACAGATCTGGATCGGGCAAAGTGCCATCCTTACTTTAATGTGAAGCTGGAGTGAATAGTAAACTTGCAGCTGAGACCACAGTGAAGAGTCGTAGCCTACCGCTTTCTACTGGGCTTGTGTGGAGTTTTGATGATCGAGGGGGACAATTTTATCCGTGCAACCTCTGTTTTCTCCGCTGCCGTAAGACATGTTGAGCTGTATCTTTTCAATCAAGGATGCATGTTGTGCATGTCTGAGTGGGTAAAAAAAAACGCTTGATGGACAGCGTGGTGTGATTTGCACACATCAGCAGGAGGCTGTAATTACTGGCGACCGATGCAGAACCTTCCAAACCTCTATTGGCCTCTGTTCAAAGAGTCATTTCTCCTCTCCGCTCACTTGAGTCTGAATCGGGTGTTTGCTTAATCTCGGAGAACAAAACGGTCACTTTCATTCAGTGGATGTGTTTTTTCAGCACGAGGAAGGGGAAGACAGATTAAATCACCTTCACCTAGAAACACAGCCTTGGTTGCCATTGTGTTTTGGTTATCACAACTTCTTGCTAGGAAAGGAATGTTTAGTGTTGGTCACACACATGATTATATCCTACTTAACTCTAAGTGTGTGTTATCTCATGAGGCTCTATTGTTCCACTGTTAAATGACTTACATGAACCCAAGTGGCCTTTACATTCTTTCTTTACATCAATTGTCAGCCCATCCCATCCGCCTACGGTCTGCAGCCTTAAGAAAATCGTTTCACCTCATGCTGAGCTTTGATTATTAATGGATTCTGTAGTGTAACCTTTTTTATATTATTATTTTTAATTTACTCAACAGATCTAGATCTTAATGTAACACATGAGATTAATGTCATGCTTTCACCCCACTATCTTACCCTTCAAATCAGAACATTCATTCCTTAGTCTAATCTATTTAGTTCTGTCATGATTAGTTGATTGAAGCAGTGAGTGCATCAGAGATTTAATCAGCTGCCATTGTGTTCAATATTTAACCATCTTTTGTAGAGTAGGAAACAAATGTTTTGGTTGTTCCAGCATCTCATAGTAGAACTTGGCCGATTGGATTAGAGGAATACATTTGATTATCTTAATTTAGGTTGTCATTATTCCACATTTTCCCCATCTTACACTATTGTGGTCAATTAAAGATGATCTGAAACTAATTGTAAATATTGTAGTTATTTAAAATCTAAATTTAAAATGAGATGATTGAACTAATTACAAGTTAACTAAATTAAATTATGTGGTATTCTTAGAAAGTCAAAATAAAAAAGGGCTGTATAGAACATTTTTGTGATTGGGCTCAGTAATCCACTTGCATGGCTTCTCTTAATGCTAAACAGTAGACGATGGCTAATTAGACCTGTCATTTACCAGATGATGCCACACTCTGAGCACAAATATTTGCCCTATTTCTCTGCAATACTCCCCTGTTTACCTTTACATCTATTGGCCATCCAAGTCGATCACTCTGTTCAACACAATATATCAAATGCTTCATTTCAGTGGTTTCTCAGTTTAGTAAATTATCACTTTTAACCACATTAGATATGTTTGTCAGTTTGATGCCTTATACCTGGTGTTTGAAGAGCTAAAACACGTCACACGTCATTACTCTTTGAACTTAACTGGCTAACCCTTGCTTCCCATATAACAAAGCAAACAACTATCACTTGTTTTTAGAGTTATTATGGGGTCTGCACCAAGTTTTCCAAACTCAGTCATACAGGCCCACTCTCTCTCATGACCACTGCAGTTATTCCCAGAACACAGTCTCATTCCAATCTAGACTGTCTGTGGTTCCACAGTGGTGGAACAAGATAGCAAACGCAATCAGAGCAGTGGAATCCCTCGTCATGAAACTTCATCACTTACGAGAACAACTCCCTTGTAACGCCTCCAACAATCTAACACATCTAACACGGACTTACATACGCCTCTAAACTGTGAAGGATTCTAAGTGTCGTCTGTCATTTAGATGGATTTATATTGTTGTAACACTTTTTTTTATCTACCAGGGTTTGTTAATGTACTGAAACTTTGATAAAGTGTCTCCAAGAGTTGAAGTTCTAATAAAATAGATAAAACAATAGTAAAACAATTCAAACTGAGAAATTATTACATCACTGAAACCAACTGATAGCAACAAATTTTTAAAATAAAAATGTAGGTAAGCATTTTTACTAGATAATACAACAACGTAATACTACAACTTCAAGTAGCAAATTGGCCCTACTTTTAGTCAAGGATGACTGATTTTTATTTTGTTTTATTTTTTATGTGATCATTGCTGTTGAAGATATCAATTTGTGGTTTGTTTCAGTTGTTTTGTCTTGCCACCTCTTTACCTATAAATTCATTTGGAAGCACTTTCAGTGACACCGTACATCTATCAACCTCTACCTTCTAAGCAGTACAGCTTACATGTGGTTATTCAAGGTTTGTCCGAGGGTGTTTCAGTCATGGAGGGGTATGTTTTAGAGGCAGCCGGCCCGTTTTGTTTACAACACGCTGGAGCACTGGTGATTTGCTAAACTGAAGCCAGGTGGCCACCATTAAACCAAGTTGTAAATGCACAGCGCCAGGATTTTGCAACAAGTCTTGTTCAGTCTTCCGTTGCCTCTGACCAAGCGCTTCCATTTGGTCACTGCCTTCCCTTGATGTTGTCTGTGTCCTCTTTTTTTTATTTACAGACTAATCAACAAGATCAAGCCTGGTATCATCAAAAAGGTTAACCGGCTCCCAACCCCTATCGCTGGACTGGTAAGTCATCTTAAGTTCTTCTGGTCATCTGATTAAATTACTGACATGTCCCTCCACCCATGTGCAGGGCACATAAGCTTTGCTTACATTTCCCTTGTTCACGTCACGTTTTGCGTCTTTTTCTTAATGTGTGGTGAGACATCTGTTGTGAAGCATGCATCTAAGCTCTGAGAGAAGAAGAATGTAAGAGAAGCCGTTTGAGGTGCAGCTGAACTGAACGGTGACAGGTCTGTGGCTTGGCTGCCAGCGAGAGGAAAGCATTTGCCTCAGTGACTTGTCGATCCTCATATCCGTCTGTGCTAATAGGTTCAGTGAGCGCGGAGCTGCTCGAAGGGAGCGTTGGCATGGTTTGAGTGCATCCTAAACCCGATATCTTCCATGCTTCAGGCCGCGTTCGATCAAGCCCTTGAAAGACAAAAAGTCTTTGTGCTGGTATGATAATTGGGTTTTTGATTGAGGAGGGGGAGGTCGGTCAGTGGCTGAGTTTGGTCTCTGAAAATCCCGCTGTTGAGTTAGACACTGTCCCACGTTCGGGCATCTTTCACTCGAGGCATTTTGGACCACGCTGGCTCTCTTGTGAGTGCGTTCTGGGAGTGGCACCAAACAAGTTCATGGGAAGCAGAGGTTTAAAGAACCTACCATAAACCCATCCCTCGCAAAGCTCTCTCTTGTAGGAGTAATTGGGTCCAGCTGTCTGGAGGAATTATAGAGTACCCTAACCCAAGTGTGTGTGTGCGTAACACAGAGCGTATTTAACAATAACCAAAAGGAAAATGTCAAGTTGATTATAAAATGAACTCCCCATAGACAGTACACAGTGCACCCATTTCTGTGTTATGACATAAACTCAATTTCCTGCCATTTGTTGTTAAGCGTTACTCATGCAACTGCCTGGACACCTGCTGAGGTAATGAATATCTCCTCCATCAGTAGCACTTGTGTGGGATTTTCTGAGACTTGGACACAGACCTGAAACCACCTGATCATAAATTCTCCTGCAAATGCGGAGCCTTCTGGCTGGCCTGAGGCTACCAGTTACTGCCAACCACATGCGGAAAAAAGTGGAGGTCTCTGCCCGGCAAACACCACTCACTCTGGTGGTGCTGTGAGAAAAAACATTTCTCGCAAAGAAATCAGAATTTCTAGCAGATATGTTTATGCGTTTGTCTCCCTTTTCTTTCCGAGGTACATTACAAATAGTTTCTCTTGGTATTTGGTCTCCACCTCTGCTGGATGTTTTGCAACTGGAAAATTTAGCCTTTTTTACAACATTGCACAAAGCAAGAGGAAAGCTGTACGGGCTTTTTCAGATTGAAATGTAGATTCAGTGTGGCTCAAATCTCTGCTGATCTAAAAGCTCTTTGCTAACACGCCTCATTAGCACTCAAATATGAATGTTTTCTACCATAATAGTCTCAAGTGTTGTTTGAGTGTTGCTATCGGAGCGATTATTACGGTTCTAAATCGATACCAGCCCCCAGTTCTGGCAAACAGGAAAGCCTACGGACGGATGAAGGGGTGAAGGGGGGGGCATAAATCTCTGGTTTTGCAGAATATTTAGCAGCACTGGCTCCAGAAAGGGACCTTTTCTTAGGTTTCCGTTGTGTCCGAGGGAGTTTTTCTCATGTCAGCACACTTCCCCGTCTTTTGCCGCAGTTCCAGTGAGCTGCGGGTTTGGGTCATGGCACCCCTGGTTTGGGCCTGGTTGTGCTTCTAGCGGCGCGGGCCAGGTCCAGCCTCCATTGGTCTCTGCCCACTATAAATACACAGTAATTGGTATGGTGCTGCATACACCAACTCCTCAGTGAGTTGAGGTACAACGGGGAGGAGATAAACAAGGAATTTCAATGGCCCTGAGGGTGTCTTTACTCATCCAAATGTCTGTTTAATCATCTGTGCAAAGACAGGCATTTGTCCATGTTTTGTTACTGTGTTTATGTTGTATGGCTGCATGTTATGACTGGACCGGACTTATAGGACACTAAGAACCTTTATTTGACTGAGGAGAGGTCCCATTTCAAGTCTTCCATCTCCTCCTGGTTTATTGTCCCAGGATTTGATCATATGTAGCCTGATATTTTAATCATGGCTCTGCATGCTGTTTAAAGCATTGCCAGGGGTCACACGTGGGCAGTCTGTAGAGCATGCCTACATTATGTGAGGACGGTGAAAGAGAGTGTGTGACTACAATGTGACCATGTGGGACCCTGTCGGACCTTTTGTATACTTTATCAGACACCGTAAAAGCCCAGATTTTCTGTTTCATGGTGTGAAGTACTTAAATTGGGCTCCTCAAGTCTGCATGAGGGGATTAGAGGCTGCTGGATGGTTGAAACATATTTAGCAGGATTATGTGCAGGCACAAGTCACCATAACATTCCTTTAACATCATTATCTCTGCGTGTTCTGGGACTGACTGTAAAGGGCGCTTTTATTGCCCTTTGCAGTTAGATGCCATTCATGTCCAAAGATATTAAGTATCATTTTATGTGTGGTTTACAAGGTTTTCCATTAAAACTAAAACAATTCATGTAGTAGTCTTGCCATAGAGTAAACACAGTTAGATTTGTAATTTCATTATTCACAAAGAAATCTTGTTGCAGATTTTGAAGCATTATGTCATGATTTTAAACTGAAATTGAACTGAAAAGGAAATTTAGACAATATTTTACAACATATTGAAACTGAAATACTTTTCTCTCTTTTAATCGCGTACTTGGTTTACATTTGGTGCCATTGACATCTTTCAATGCGAGTAAAATAGAACTACTGATGCTAATACAAGATCAATATTTCTTCATTTCATGGGGATATTTTGGTGTATTTCTTTTAAATGGGGTTGTATAACGTGCAGACAGTAGTCGGAGCTCCCTCAGTTTGGACAATGAGGAAGGAATTTTTACAGGGAACTAAACTAAGAATGATTTATTTGCCTTCTGAAGCAACACAATACTGTCACGACTTTCTCAACCAAAAAATAGTAGTGTTGCTTTCCAGCACCCTCTAAATCACAGAAGATATGTCCTGATTTTATCCTAAAGCATACGTACCATCCATCAAAGCTAACACCAATACTGACCGGCTGGGATCCTTAGGCTCTGGGTCAGCATCACATTGAAAACTAACGTGATTCTGTCACGGCACGAAAGCATATGTGAGCAAAGCAGGTTAATAATTGATCTATTGCTGCAAATAAAAAACACAATTCCTGAAATTTCCAATGCTTTCACCAGGCCAAGTTTATTAATAAGGCACTCGGGTAAAGCAGGAAACCTTCCGGTGAAACAATGAATCTGGGATGGAACAAAAGGGTTTTCTGTGAACTTTGCATAAGTAACTTATACGTCCATGAGGACAGTGGTGACTCTGAATGAGATATATCTGATGATCACGCACTGCCATTAAGCTGTGTTTTTTAGGGAAGGGCTTGATTATTGTTGCAACAAAATACCAAATACCAAATACATGCATAAAGGGGAAAACTGTGAGGGGGACATAGATTTTTCTTTTTTCTGCCGAATCTTCTGCTATTAACTGAACATTTAGTGCATTGTTGAATAAAAAATTTGAAATATTAGGTTCCAAACTATTGGGGAGCTGAAATGCACGTCTTTTTTTTCTGTAGCAAAACAAATAATAGTCCAAGAAATACGTTTTTATCGTGATTTTTATCACCGCAGGTTTTTCATATTAGACAATTGTTCTCCACCCATTACCAAATTTTTGCTCACTCTTGTAAAGCTGCTGTAATGATGTGCAGATTTTGTGAGACAGGACCATAAAAGATTGGTTGGATAACAAATTAGATATGTGGCAGATTCTTTTTTTATTCTTATGAAGTGGGATAATCACGACTATGATGCGTCACTCAAAAAAAAGTCTTCAAACAAGGGAGGAGTTTCAAATGGATGGAAATAACTATATTTTAAAAGCTGTTAATATGATATTCGTGAGCATATTATGTTGAGGTAAAGCGAGCAAGAGGTCGTACGTGCTTCGTTATTTTTGACAGTGCACATGCTGTACTTGCTGAATGACAGCCGTAAATTTTGTGTCAAGAATGCATGGGAGCAGATTTATGAGGACAAACTTGGTGAGAAAATGAAGGTCGGAGAAAACATAATCGTCAATCCTAATCTGTATCGAAGTGAAAATATCAGTCTTACTTGCACTTTTTTTCTTTATTTTGAAACAACAAAGAGAGGAAAAATCAGCTGTGAAATGAGCCATTAAGGGACAGATTGCTTCCGTACAGCAGGTTGGTGGTGGGAGGACTCGGTGACCTGGAGCCTTCAAAGAGCTGCTAAGAGACAAACAAATCTGTCAGCAAGGGATCTCAGTATTGAGAGGTCAGCTCCCCACAGCCATTTGTTAATAAGCATGTTTGCCATTTAAATATAGAAATAGCTAACCCCTTAATTATTCCAGCCCATGCTGAACCCATGTGCGCGATCACATGAAAACCCTTTTAAGCAGCGGTGTGCCAATGGGAAGTACAGCCTCGCAAACAAGACGGCACGGACTACGACTGGAAAAATCATAACACCAAAACAAAGTGAGGTTTCTGTGGTCGGCGATTTATTTAAAACGTATGACATGCATGCACATTTATAGATCCGCGCCGCTGTCGCACATCTGCCCGACTCATGTGCACGCAGATAAACTTCACGGAATGTAAAATGATTGGCACGGTGTGGCAGGATGAGAAACTTTCCTTCCCCCTCCCATGTTCTCTTGACTTGCTTCAGGGAAATATTTGTCAGTTTCTGTCACCGTGCCTCGTGTTTCATAGCAACCAAATATATCCAAAATACTCCGCCGCCCCACAGATTCCACAGGTATTCTCGAGTAATGGGCTTGGCAGGGAGGGGAGGGCAGGGTTTCAGTGTGTGAGAAGAAGAGGAGGACGGCGGCAGGCAGGCGTTGTGCGCTCGCTTTGTGCGTCACTCCTGTGCCTGCATGGCCGGTCGAGTGGGACTGTGATGTCATTCTTCCTGGTTGGGTTTTTGTCTCCACCCTAACCCGGCCCACAGGTGGCTGTGTCTCTGTCACTCAGCTCCTGTCAGGCAGCCTTCCACCCCCCTCCTCCTACATATGTGTATGAGCGTCTGTATGTGTGTGTGTGTGTGTGTGTGTGTGTGTGTGTGTGTGTGTGTGTGTACTGCCCGGGTGACTCCTCATTTGCTGTACTGTTTGCTCCTCCCCGTCCGCTTCTGCTCCCCGGTGACATGAACTTTGGAAGCAATCAGTTGTAGGCTGCATCCCCGCCAGAGAATTCTTGAGTGATTATTTCTTTGCCTCAGAAGGTGGACAACCCTCATCCCGGCTTTGCTCTCTGTCCAGGACAACCTTAACGTCTTCCTCAAGGCCTGCGGGAGGCTCGGACTAAAGGAGGCACAGCTCTTTCACCCAGGAGATCTGCAAGACCTGTCTACAAGAGTAACGGTCAAGTAAGTTTTTGTGACGTTAGACTTGTAAAATGTGGGCACTCAAACTTCAACGCTCATCCCTGGCCTTTAAAGATTTAAGATTCTCTTGTATTTTTGTAATCTACTTTGACTGAACCGCCCCCTCAGTCTGTTCCTGCTTGTACATAATTTACACATTTAAGAATAACCTTTGCACTGGATAGTGTTGAGTACAAATGTCCTCACGTGGGACATGAGAAGAAGGTGAATGCTATTTTGAGTGTGTTTGTATGCCTCTGGAGGTTTACATCTGACTCAGCAAAGAGCCCTGCTTTTTGTTTCTTTTAAACTATGATTGAGAGAGTGAGAAAGTGGACCAAACGACATAATGGTGTGGCTGAAAACCGACACTGTTTCACAGTTTTGAAGATCTCCGAGATAGTTTTCCATTTAAAAGCAGGCCCATTTGAATTCACGTCTCTGCCCCTCAGCTTGTTCATTCCGACTGTTTTAGACAGTGTTTTGTTTTTAGTTGCATACTGGCCGGCCAGGCATGTTGAACAACCTGTTCAGTTTTCACGCAGGTGTACCTGCAGTAGGGAAACAGGTAGACCTCTGTATACGTTCCTTCAACTGCAAAACACTCTGTTTTGCATAGCACAGTGCTGTGCAAGCGAAAAAAAAGAAAAAAAACTGCTTTAGCAGCAATACCTGCATGCTGTCAGACTTTACTTGGATGCCGTGGGCTGTTCACAGCCGGCCTTAGAACAGTTTCCTACGCTCCACGCCAGCACTCTGTTCTTTCTTTCAAATGTGTCTCGGCCGATGTGTTCACATAGTTGTGAGCTCACAATTGACTTGCGTCGAGATGTTGGCACAGCTTCCAAGAGCATTTTTTTCCCATGATCCACCCAAGAACCAAGTCATCGGAATCGAAACCACGTTCATAAAGGCCTGTGCAATATGGAGTCATCAAGTCAGCTTGTCATTCACCAGGGCACACGCCCTCTGCCTTCTTAACTTATCATTCACCCAGTGTTTGATTCGGTCTCATAAATTCCAAAGATAGAGATCTCATACCCTTTGCATTATCAGAATTAGATCTGTTGCACAACCTTTTCCCAGGATATTGTTGGCGCATTACCTGTTTAAATATGACAGTCAAACAGTGGAAAATCATACTAACATTTATGGCAGCTGAGTAAACACATCTTTTTTGTTTCTAAATCTCCCACAAAAAATCCAAAACCTGTTGACTGCTCTGTGCCTTTTTTTTTTTCTTTCTGTGCCACCTTGTCTATCTGCATTTGGGGTTTGCTCAGGGTTCTCTTGCAGTCCTATTTTTAGCCCCCTGGGGTCACTTTGACAGGCTGGATTGATTGGAATGGTATCAGGACTCACGGTAGAGGAGCTTTTAATAGTCTGCCGTCTCCTGTCAGTACACTCTTCTCCTGCATGTGGTCTTCACTGTACACCCGTGTTTGTTTGTGTGTGAGATTCAGTGTTTAGGTTGTGGTAAGCAGTCTGGGGGGTGTTTCTCATTTGGGAATGTGTTCTCTGTGGTGATGAATGCAAACACACTCAGGGTAACCTGAAACTGCCTTTGCCCTTTTTTTATTTTTATTTTTTTTTAATACTATCGAAATAGCCTTGATTATAACGTATTGTGGGTCTTAAGCAGGTTTTGAACGGGGTAAGTGTTCTCTTTACAAAGAGCTTGAGTCAACCGTGAGCAACTGTGTATTGCTTCTCTTTTGCTGTTGATTACCCATGCACAGAGAGGGCACACAAAGAGTAACATGAGTAGAAAATCCCAAACAAGGCAGCAGACACGCAGCCAATGGCTTTATTGCACTGTAACTTATCACACACTAGCCAAATGAGCCTCAGAGAGGGAGAAAGTTGTCTATCAGCTGTCTTTGCTCCTGGTGTTTGTCCAACCTCCACTCCCTTAAACCCGGCCAGACAGGTGCTGTTCTCAGCGTTGCTGTTTGTTGTTTCAGCAGCAGTGAAGATGTGAGGCTTGTTAGGAGGGACGTACATTGCTTTTCACAGGGACTATAAAGCCTTTAGTGCCTTCGACGCCTTTATTCCTCTCCCACTTCTCCTTTCCTATATGGTTTTGTTGCAACATGTGTATGTGTAAGGTTAAAACACCTGGGAAGATTGTTTATTTAGATATTCAGAATGAATCGGATCAGTTCATTTTGTTTTTACTGTCGTCACTCAGTAGAAAACTATTTTGCAGATAATCATTTCAAGCCCTTTTATGTCAGAAATGGCAAAAGCTGGCTTGTCTTGGGCATCCATGAATGGCTAATTGTCATCTTATCTTCATTATACTGACCAAACAACTAATCAATTAAATGCCCAAATAACGGTCGTATCAATCATAGAAGAGTAGCTGTAGCCCTGTTTTCTTTTTCTTTCTTCAAGAAACTGATTCTGCAGTGATCCAGAGATGAAGAATCCTCATTGATTTCAGGATCGATTTGTCTTGCTTAACCGTTTACAGAGCTCATGTGTCCTGATATGAATCCAGATTCAGATATCGACTGACCCCTCGTTTGCTTAGAGTAGCATTTAATTCATAGTCAGCCATAAAAGCACATTAAAAAAAAGAATGTCTCCATCAACCTTTGAGCTGAGCCGTTGTAGCATTGGCCTTGTCACCATGTGCTTTGCTCTGCCTTGCTTCGTGTGACGTTTGCTCTGATAAACACCTTTTATCAGTCACAAACACATTCAATATCAGGTTTTTATTGTTAGATGCAAACGTTTGTGATGGTGCAACTGACTGATAAGACGAACCAGTGGACCTGTGGGTTCAGCATCACTATAATGACAACATGTGGACCACCACACTGACCCCACTGGATCGGTTTCATCTTTGGAGACAATGAATCACAGCTAATTTGAACTAACTTGCACTAAACGACAGCACTCAAATGCTACAGATGAGTCACAAAATTACACGGGGTCTATAAGAGTTGGGTGACATGTTGTCGGGGTATGCAGTGTGAGAATTCAGCTTCATGGACAACAGATCAAAAAGTGTAGAGCAACCCCCGACTTTTTTGAGCATTTCACCAAGTTCTCATTACATTAAGCCCTTCAAGTATAACTGTCATTGTAACAATATAAACCTCAAGTTATGTTGTAGATGGAAAGGAACTCTGGTCACCTTAGTTTAGTAGCTTGACTAGCATTAGTCTTATCTTTACTGGGAGCAATTAAGAACAATTGATAGTAATGGAATGTAATTAGAGGCACTTGTGTGACAAATCTGTAGTGACATAGCATTGTCATTGATGTAAATGCTCATATTCTAAATAGACAACTTGAATGCGGTAAATAGACTGTACTTAAATAGGTAGTCTTGCTAACCACATAAAGTGCTTTACACTTCATGCCACATTCATTTTTCTTTTTAGTTTCAGTTCATCCTGGTTTATGGAGTTTTATGGTTAACCTGAGCACTTTATTTCCCTATTGTACACATTCATACATCTATTGGTGTCATCAAATGTGGTTTGGGAAACGCAGGACTCTAACCACAGCTTCACCAATAAATGTAGTTGTGTGTTGAGTAAACTCACTGTTGAGTTTCCCAGCCTTGAATGTCACTGTTTCAGTTTACATTCACTCCTGTCACAGCATTATTTTGTCCACATAAACATCTCAGCTACCTAGTTTGCCCATGTAATTTCTTTATCTTCAAATCCGTTTCTGCTGAAATAAACTGTGCTCTATCTCCTGAAAAGCAAACATCATATACATACATTTTGTACTCACTTGGTGTACATAGATTAGCTACATTCTACAGATTACAAAACAAAGAGATGAACAAAAAAGTTGAGTATTGAATCACTAGGTGGACAAAACACAATTCCATATGTACGATGAAATTCAAAACATTTTGAAAAAAAAAGAAAACTGGAATCTCCTCAAGTCCTTTAAATCTGATTAGGTGAATACCATTCCAGCAAGTTAACAAGCACATTAAAACTGTCAGTAAAGAATGTGTTTCCTCTTTCACAGCGAAATATCAACTAATTGATTGTCATGAATCGAAATATTCTGCTTGCAAGTCACGTTTACGACCTGTCAGTCATGCTTTGATACGATTTAACTTTTTATTTTATAGTCTACTGTGTTTGGATTATGTGACCTTGTTTACATACAACTAATAACTGTAAGGCCAACACTAGATCCCAGCCTGTATCTCTACATGGGGCACAAGTAGTTTTGACTTAAAACGGGCACCGTGTTGCATTTTTGCAAATAAGTCATCCCACAGTGAATATCAATCCACTGTCGCACTCTGGGTTTTTGTTCAGAGCCACTAGATAAATCCCCTTTGTTTTTATTGCTTACAGTACATGGTATGTAACACAATACGGCATATTTGTGTTGTGTTCAGAACTCGTGTGTGTTTTGCTGATGATAGTCATGTCCTTGCACTTTTGTACTTTTTTTGATTGCGGACCTTTTTTTTTTTGTCATGGATTTTGTTTGCACTGTGATATCAATATCTCTTTGTCTGAAGAAAATAACTTATTGCTGTTCGTCCAGTTTCTACACGGTGACCTCCTGTGACTGACGCAACAAATCCCCCACGGAGAGCGGTCCAAAGTCTCCTCCTTTCCTACTGTTTAATTAAGCAAATTATTGACGAGGGCTCCAAACCGGGAGAGGAAACTGCACAAAACAATTGGCAGACACATCCATCTGAATTTATCATCCTCTTGAAGAATGTCAAGTACCCCTTCCACACTATAAACGAGGAGTGGCTGGGTTGTATGATTACATGATTTGGGTTATGTAATACCAGCTCTGGCTGGACATCAAACCAAATGTTTAAACTACCTGAAGGAATGTGTCCCACACAAATTTGTGCGGGCTTCACAGCGTGTTATCAGAATCGATTCAAAATGCATGTGCCTGCGCCACATTTTGTGTGTGTGTGTGTGTGTGTTGTTACTCAAGTCATTTCAAAGGGATTAAGAGCGCGCAGGACACACACAGTTAGCGGCGTGTTAGTATTGCAGGCGTGGCTGGTTTTACCTGGCACTGTACACCATTCCAGTTTCGTGTTTTTATACGTATATGGCAGCGCCATCACGTCTTGTGATGTGTGAACTATGGGCTGATTGTAAAACACGCACCAATGCTGAGCGGCCCAATAAAGTTTCCACACCACCGATGCGGCCCCGGCTGTAAAAGGCCAACACAAGGGTTATGTTTGTGCTCTGTAGCTCTACTGGGGAGCGACTCGCCAGCCTCACCCCGTTCCCTCGCCCACAGAGGCCACACTGTCTCCGATAAGTATGACACAATGATGTCCAACCCTGCCTGAATCACAGCTTATTCTCCTGTTCAAACTGGGTCTAAGTTCTCCAGTACAGCTAGGATTCTCTACGGGCCATTTCTGAAATCTACACAGTTTCTTTAGTGACCATGAAAACCCCCAGATGATGGTTCATAATGCGTTGTCATGGATCGTGACAGAGCAAAAGATCTTTCTTACAAAGGTATGCTTCTGCCGGCGTGTGCACGCCCATTAATTTAGGGCTTTGTTAATCTTTTTCATGTCATTGTGCCGGAGAAGTCAAGCAGGTTTGATTTCTATTTGCTTTACACTCAGACGGTTTCATATCAGCCAGTGTGTGGTGTTCACCTGTAGATACTCCTAATCTCGCCACAGATCTTAAAATATCATTCCGCTTCAGTTACAACACAGGCAAGGGTATGACACGGAAAGATCATTTAGTTTGGTTATTTGTCTAAAATTTGAATAGTGATTCATGTTTCTTCAGTTCGCGGAGGTTAGTTTTAACCTCCGGCTTGTTCTGAACTGTTTTCTCTTTCCCTCGCATCAAATAAGATTAATCAACTGTCTGGCAAAACAGCATTGCGCAGCTTGAAATGTCAATAGCTTTGTACATCCAGCTTGCACAACTGGTTTTGTGTCAGGATTGCATATTCTTTTTCCCATGAATCGACCACAGAAGCGGCAGTTACCTTTTAAGAATGCTGAGGGATCCTCAAACTTATCTGTCCCATCCCTAGGGCGGTGATAGGAAAGTCTGAATAATTATGTGGAGTCTCATGTTGAGGCTTGGGATGAATGGCTCGTAAAAATGGTAAGAACTTCCTATGTATTTGTCAGCATGGACTGTTTCCCGTCAGACCTTTGTTTACTTACAATATGGACTGCGCTGTATGGGCTAATCAGCCATTTTAGAGCCTGTACCGTCTTGTTTTACCACTTGGATAAGCTCTTTTTGGCCTGCAAAACAAATAAGTTAGACGTTGATAAAAAAAAATATCTTTGTGTTCTCGTGAGACGAAAAGGACTTCTTTATTTCTGTGACCTCTGTTTTACATGATATGAGCTAAAGTTTAAAAGGCAGATGCAGCGTTTGCTCTTCTGTTGCTTGCATGTGTCAAAGTGATAACAGCACTTCAGATAAACAGTTTTTAAGTTGCACACTGTACAGATCTTTTGTGTATCAGACTCCTGTGGCGTTTTGTCATATGAGCACTCAGCTGACTTTTACAGATCACAGTAAGTCCTGAGGCACCGGAGTCCTGGAATGGATGCTCCCACCCTTTATTCTCCTCTTTTCTGGGGTAAAGGAGCAAACACAACTACTATTTTCCCCCCCTTTTTTGATCTGGCTATCACAATAATATTAGACTTTGACACTGTGTTCCAAACCCCTGCATGTGTTTTTTTTGTTTATTTTTTTTAATTTTTTTTATCTCCCACCTCTTTTATTGGACCCATAAATATTTACTTGGTAAACTGGAAAAACATCCACTTCAGCTTTCCACTGTTGGGGAATTAGCATGTTGGAAACCCCTGGTGTGAAATGACGCATGTTGGTGAGAAAGCTGATCTGCTCCCCATTCTGTCCACCACTGCTCACTGTAGAAAATCCCATCAATAAAACGAGCAACATGTTATATTGTTATAATGGAAAACAATCAAACGCTCAGCTGAGTTAATTTTTCAGGGCTTGCTTCAATTATTTTGTTCTGATTCTGTTTTTTTTCCCTCACCTCCCTGACGGCTTATTTTCACTCTCAGCAGGCTCTTAATTGAAGCAAAAATGCTCTAAAAAGCCACTCTAAGGCTCACAGACACAATTAACAGCCACTCGGTATTTAGCAACTATTTGGGCTGAAATTTCCCCCAGGCGTTTGCTGAGACTGGAACACTGAGTATAGTGAGGTGAACTAAGCAGGTGTCAAAAAACAGGCTGAACATGTAAAAAAAAAAAAACCCAACCTCAAATGTAGTTCTAATGTGGCAATTTTTTTAATAAAGCTCTCTGATGCATTTAAACGAGAGGTAGGTTCAATGTTAGGGTTAGGGTTAGCATGAAAAAGGTTTGAACTCCTCCAGTGAAAATTTCTGTAACAGTAAAAAGATCAGTCAATTAATTAGAAAAAAATCTGCCATTAAATTTAGAGAACAGTTATGCTTATCTGTTAGTAGTAGTGAATAATAAGCAAAGAAAAGAGTTGAAGCTGACAGTTTGGCCCCTTTTTATAGTCAGTAATAGACCCCTTTGGCACAAATTGGTAGCTTCTAAATTCTTTCCTTTTCCAGTTAAGACATATTTAAATTGAAAAATTGCTCTTAGTTTGCTTTGTTTTTCATGGACTGTTCTTTTGAGGTCTTTCCACTGATTTAACGTGCCGTTAAGGTTGGGATAACTTTTTCCTCATGAGCTGGAATTTGGAGTTTTATTTGTTTTAGATTGTTATCCTGTTGTAATAGTATGATGTCTGCTCACTGTAAAACGAGCCCAACGCATGTTGAAGCCACCTGTGTTTGACAGCCTCAGATTTTTACAAGTTAAAATCCGGCACCCTTTTTTTCTTAAGGCTTATTTTGGCCGAATGCAAAAACTTTTAATGCTGACTTTTGCGGGGAGCAGGCAGGAAATGTTTTCTTCTTGTGACGCGAGGGTCATATTTATGCAGGTGTGGCTGCACATTAGAGCACCATCACTCTAGAATGTTCAGAATTTTCCCAAAGGTGGTTTTGAGCCAGAGCAGATTTTTTATTTCATTTGTCTTTTTTTACCTACTTTAAAGCAACTACCTTTGATCAACGGTATGTTAAAATCCTTGGTCTCTTTAAATCTGAAGTCTCAGGTGTAACCTCATGCACGCTCGCTGTGTCAGCAGGTTTGCTGGTCACATTGCGTGCCAGAGATGAGCTTATAAGACATCCGAGCGTTAACAAGTAAAGAGGCATGTGCGGCTTTTGTGTTGCCACATGATGGCAGGAATGCGTAGCGTTTCCCCGGAGATGTAAACCTGGCTGTTCATCTTCTTCTGTCACCGTTAGATGTATTGATGCAATTCATAACTCTTTGCTGACATTTCTATGATAAACATTAGTCACAACGAGTGACGGGGACACTGTGCACTCAAGAAGAAGGCGATGTAAGGCTTCCGGGTTTTGTTTGCTTTCAGAGACTGGCATTTCCCTGGAAAGTGATTTACAGGCAGTCAGGTCAACTGTCAAGCCCAAGAAATATGAATGAAACAGTGACCCTTGGTCAGGTCTCTGCTTTATTGCTTTTTTCCTCCTAAACTGGTCTTTGTTTGATGATTAAGTACCGGGTATATGTGTTGTAACTCATAGAAATGCCAGCTAAAATCATCCTTTTTGCCTTAAGCTTTGAATAACTCATTTCAAAAACGATTTTTAGTTTTATGATTCACTCTGTAAAACATGTACATATCTGACAGCCCGACAATTATGAACTGCTGTGATTTGATTTCCTTTCTTTTCAGATATGCGCATTTGTTTTTCACTCTGCCTTTGTGTTGTTGTTTGAGAGTAAGCGAAGGGCTGGCACTAGTCTGGATTGTGCTCTCAGTTTCCAGCTCTTTCACTGCCCAATACATAGACCTAACAACGATGCCCTCTATTCTTGTGTTGTCATTTTCCCTCATATGCAAACACCTCTTTTTTTGCTCTTTATTTTCACAGGCATCAAGAGACCGATAGGAGGCTGAAAAATGTAAGTTTTTCTTTTTCTTTTAGATATTAATTTGGTAGTCTTTCTTTTCTTTTAATCATTGTCAAATATTACCTTCAATACATAAATGTTCATGTTATTCGTTTGGTATGACTGGATCTGTGTAAAACATTTCTGAGAACATTTAACCTTTACACATGCAGCAAATTAATATTTAATGATAATATTAAAATTAGCTGTAGATAAGGGCTAAAGCAAATTTCAATATTATCATTAACAGATGCAAAAAGAAAACCTTGGCTATGACTCAGTTTCCTGGAGGAGTGTTGACTTGACCAAAGAGGCAGAAAAATGGGACATTTGACAGATGTGTCAAATTTACCCTGAGAGCTCAGTAATTGGACAGTCATGTCCATTTTTTTGTTTTTAAAGGTAGTTAGGTATACATTTTTGAGGGAAAGCAGATGACAGATACAACGCTTACAGTGATAAGGGCATAGCTCTTATGTTCTGTTTAAGTAGGAAAAAAGTGCTCTAACAGCTTCTCCTGATTCTTTTTTTCTTTGAGAAATATCTATGGTGAACATACTGTCCAAAAGGTTCACCACTCTATGGAACTTTTTTTGTTAGGAATTTTGCAGTTGAGTTTTAGGTGGCACAGAGATCCCTCTGGCAAGCGTTGCATTTCTATCAAAACCGCATCATGTTATCATCCAGGATCTGAAACTATCCAAAAATCCAGCCTTAATAGATTTTTCCCCTCATTCCGTCACAGTCCTGACTGACAGTGACATTTAAGCTTGAGTCTAATTGTGTGTTGTGAAGCTATCCGTATTGATGGGGTGATATTTGTTGGCTGTAATTTGCTGGTTATTTACCTGCTCAGACACACAAACAGCACGAGAGTGTTGGAGTTTTTCTCGAGTTGCCAATAAACTAGACCATTGCGCAGGGTTATATGACCCTGGCTGGCTAAGAGCAGGTCATAAAAAGCCCTTGTTTTTGCCTGCATTCATCCCCGAGGGTAAAGGTGCCGTGATTGCCTGATGATCTTTCGTTTTCTGGTAAATATAAAAAGGCAATTAAAGGTAAAAATGTAACAGAACACCATTTTCTGTCTTTTTTTTTTTGTTGTTGCAGGTTTTAATCACTATTTACTGGCTGGGTAGAAGAGCTCAGAGTGAACGTTTCTATGATGGACCTTACCTGAATTTGAAGGCATTTGAGGGATTACTGGGCACAGCACTATACAAGGTAAATTCCTCCAGTGCACTAATTATACCGCTGGCCTCTTAAATCTGTCTTATCCTTGCTGTCAAGAAACAAAGGCTCAATTTTAGTATTGTATAAAAGCCTCTTTTGCACTTCTGTATCCTCGCCGGTATGTCGACTATGTGCTGAGGAATGGCTGCCCCATGCGGCGCGGGGCAGTTTGCCTGCCACTAAAACCGACGCTACGTTAAGTCATAAATGACCCGATCGTTTGACTCAGCTATTTAAATCTGGTTTACAACACACAGTTCGCATAGTTTACGTGTGAAAATAGAAGCTTCGTTTCATGAAATAAGAGGCCCACACACACACACACACCCTGCTCGTGCCAGTGTTGAACTTGGCACTTTGCGTTCACATGGATTTATAGTTAGTCTGCAAGGCCTCTTTAATTCAACATCCAACAAGGATCTTCAGTAATAACAGTTGGTCAGAGCACATTTTATGTACGTTGAGCCATGTTAATCTAAGTTCAGTCGGGCTGCGTTTAATGTGGAGACCTGCATTGTCTGGGTGGATTCAGCAGATTATAGATCTGAAAATCATTTTCTTTAGCGGGCGGCTGACAGGTTTTGGCTCGTCTCGAGACGTTCGGCTTAAATAAGCTTCTCTAGGGGTTGCTGAAGTGTTTATGTGCAATGACATTCTTTTCCGATGGCAAACACAGTCATTAAGGGTGTGGCAATCGTCGAGCTGTTTGTTTGACAGGCGAGAGAACACAATGAGAGTATTCCATGCAAATTACAGTCACCCCTCACGGTTACCATAGTGTATGGACAGAAAAGCAGAGGACGGACATTACAGACTTCCTCAGACTACCTGGGAGACCTGAACCCCCCACACACGATGGAGCTGAATACTTTAATTGGCACCCAGTAGTCCGAATGGGGGGCTGATTACGCACGTGCGTGTGAAAGGCTTTGCAGGAATCGCCCGGTCAGAAGAGCGGCAGCGTCAGAGACAGCGGCTTTGGAGATAGCTGGTACTCGGAGCGAGAGGAGCCCCACCATCTGAGAGGAGGAGGAGGAGGAGGCGGCCGTGGACACAGAAGAGAAGACTCTCTGGACAGCGTCGACTCGTTGGGTTCCCAACCTCACAGCATCTCATCGGACACTACTCTGAAAGGCAGCAGCGAGGGTAGGAGCCTTTAGAGATGAACACAAGTGTCACGTTTCTGCCCTTTGTCATGTCACCTTAATAGAGCTGACTTTATGGCATCCGCTGTGGTATTTGACTTCTTGCAGTATGGTTTGTGCTCAGATTGCTTCTCAAACCAGAAGGAGACAGATAATTGTTTGTCTAGACATTCTTCTATTCTGTCTCCACGTGGATTTTTATAATCCAGTTCATCTGACGACAAACTCAAATATTTCTGAACTGAGAAAAACCTGTTGGCTAAAGGTTGACTCCCATTGGTGGGCAAACAAATGCATATCGCCATCTAGTGGAGCGACTGTGCAAGTGAATATTTTCTATGAAAGTACTTTTTAATTCTGGACAATAACGATATGAAAGTGATGTTGCGGTGCTTCTAAATAGAAGAAGTTACCGATGTGTAATGCAAGGGCAGCTCTTTTTTTCTGTAACAGAGGGCAGTGAGACATTCCTCAGCCATCCACACTAGCTTGTAAATGAGGAGGCCTCTGCTCCCCACCCTGCGCCCCTCTGTAACTCCTCCAAAGTCACACCAGAACACACAGCATTCTCCCCTCACTCTTTTCTATAACCTGGTTTTGTTTGTCTTGTTTTTTTTTTCCCATTTGCCTCCGCCGATACTTCCACCGCCCCTAAGCCCCATTTGTTCCCTTCCTCTTTGGCGTTTGCAGGTTGTTTTAGCGACACCGAAGCGGATTCAGCCTTCAGGATGGCCGAGAGCAAGGACGGCCTCGGCTACCGCCGGTCTCTGGTGATCACACCTAAACCCAACACCCAGTTTAACCAGTTCCTGCCCTCTAAAGAAAAGTCGTCGGGTTACGTGCCGGCTCCGCTGCGGAAGAAATTTGCAGAGCGCAAAGAGGACAGCAGACGGAGCTCAGCCTACCTCAGCAGCGCCGAGGAGGAGGTCAAGCTCACCAGGTACTGTCCACCCCAACCGGGGCTCTAGATCCATTTGAAGTTACTGCTGCTTAGCTCATCTTCTTATTGAAAAGATGTATGCCGTGTGATTATTTTTTTTAATTTTTTTTTTTTTGGGTTCAATGAAAGGTAATGAAATGGATTTGATGCCTGAGTTTCCTGGTTTGTGCTTCATATGCCAGTCGTTTCATTGGTGGCCTTTCTCACCTTTGTGTTGTCTGTGAATGGTCCGTGGTGTTGTGTTTCATTTTTTTTTGCTGCGGGATGTCAAACTCAGCGAAAAGGCGATTCCGTCAGACCGCTACAGTAGCAACAGCGTGTCCTCAAGTCCCCTGCCGGCACCTCAGCTCCTCTGGGCCTATGGCTGCGAGAGCGGCAGCGACTCGGACGCGGACCGCCCGGACCCCGATCTCGTTCTGGACGATCTGGCGAGCAGGCGCTTCCACAGCCCCTCGCCAGCTCCTCCCACCAACTTTGCCGTCCCCATCAGTCCCCTGGCAGGGGCGAGGCTGCCCGGGAGCAAAGGGGCCCCCTTGCCCACGGTCACTGTGACTCCCAGTGTGGCCCCTCAGCAAAACGTAGCCGGCCACAGGTCAGAACACGCGGAGGTGAAGTGTGATGTGCCGGCCTGACGAGTACAAAAACTAGAATGCTTCTCTCATCCTTTCGTTTGCATGGTTAATTGTAACCATGAGCCACATCTCTCGTCAAACTTGGCTTCCTCTAACGCGGCTTGAGTTGATTTTGTCCTTGAGTTGTTATATCTCCGCTGCAGCTTGCCCGCATTTGCTTGTTCTGAGTTTGAGGCGGGATTGGAGCTGTCCGCGTAACTCTTCGAATCCATTTTGACCTGGTTTGGTTTTGAGCTTGCGCTGGTGTGCTGATGCCGCCGTCATTTCATTTGAGGTTGGCTTTGCGTGACTGCTGTGCTCCTTTTGCTGACGGCCGACTCTGCTTCTGACACTTGTCGTTGGCTGTCTCCCTCGAGCAGCAAAGGCGGGAAAACGCAGCCGCCAAAGCGCGGCTCTGTGAGGGTGGACCACCGCCGAGCCGTGCACTCTAATAGCCTGTTCAGGGACATGTGCGACGACTCTGAGGACGAGGACGACGAGGTGGGCTATGCTGACCCCGTCCAAGATGATCTCTACTCCCGCAAGATGGGCTTCAAGCCCCAGCCTGCAGGCAGCGGGTCTTATGACAAGTTCTTACCAAAGTTCTGGACGCCGGAAGAAGACGTCCACGTACAGAAGATCAAACTGGGCTCTCAGAGGAGACCCTGGTACAAAAAGATGCAAGGCTTCAGGTGTGTTAGGGCATGAGGATCTAACATTAGCTGAACCCTACCTAATTTTTTTTCCTTTCACTTCCCCTCTAACTTAGTTTGGTTTATCTTCTTCATGTAACTGCATGCCGATCTAACCATTTTTGGATTAGAAATTTGGTGCTCTGTGGCTTACTGCCATTTGTGTAGCTCATTCTTCCCACTTACATTTCTTTCTCTTTTCCAACCTCTGCCTCCTATCTCCTCCTCCCTGCCACCTCCTCTCCTCGCCCTTCACCCACCCGGCTGTCCCCGACCGTAGCCCCCAGAGGTCAGGCTCTTCGTCAGACGACTCGGAGTGCGACATCAGTCCGTGGCTCTCCACTGCCCCCTCCCGTCCCGGCCCACCTCCCTCTCACTCCCACACACACGAGGCCTCGGCTCAAACCACTGTTGTTGTTGGGAAAAGGTCGATACAGCTGCATGACTCCAATGACGCAGGCTTGATATAAAGTGGCAGGTTTTATAGGGAATTAACAAGATGCTCTAGCTAAAAGAATTCTGATGAGCTATTTTCAAACAAACTAATAAAATATGCTGTCAAACTACTAGCGTTGCCCTAACAAGCTTTACAAAGCAGTTTGTTTGCATTAGGTTAAAAAAAAAAAGGCTTCGTCTCATGATTATCCAAGTTTTATTACAGTTTATTACAGCCAAGTTTTTACAACTAATAGCACAGTTTTCATTTCATTGCAGTCTAACTCAGGATCCTAATTTGATCAAGGTGTGTTTGAATCAAACATATCAGGACCGCTTGTTGTGTCTTTTCCTCCTTTTCTTGCTCCTTGATCTAGTTCACATGCATGCGCTCATCACTTCTCTGTCTTTCTCTCTCCTTCTGCTCACTCTGCAGTCCTCATGCTCAACCACACACTCCCCCACAGCTCCCCAAGATACAGCTCCCTTTCTTACAGACCCCGCCGATGTCGTTTGCCCCCATCGACCCCACCTCGGGTCCCAAACTGGTCAAATGCGAGAGGTGGTCGCTCCTGGGGCGCCAAGACCCCCGGGAGCGCCCCGACCCGTTCGATTATGGAAGCCTTTCCCCCGATTTGGAGAATGACGATATGTTTGCCAGGCGAACCCTGGCGTTCCAGTCTAACACTGAGATGGCAATGATGAAGAGCCAACTGTCGGCCGACCGGCGGCGCTACACGTCTGAGCCTCAGCTCAATATCGTTACCCAACAACAGCGCCGCGGGGACGCCGAGGATAGCGATTTTCCCGACATCGAGCAGGACGACGTGGTTTACCGCAAAGAAAAAACTCAGCAGGAGCGACCGCTCTCGGGGGCCCCCGACAACTACGTTCCGATGCCCATCCCGGAACCCTGGGCTCTACCTCCTAACCTCAAGGCCAGACTCCTCTGCCCCCCGTGCCCTCTGACCCGGGAAGCGGCAACAACGAGCCAGAGTAAAGTGGACACGCGTCCCAAAACAGATGACATGCTCATCCGAAAACTCGGAGTCAATGATCAAAAGCAGCTGAGGGGTCCGCCGGCCGGTCACATGACTCCATCAGTCCCTTCTTCTTGTAGCGAGGGGGACCTGCAGAGGATGCAGGCAATCAGAGAAGCCAGCCAACTGAGATATAAGAAGAGGCTTCTGGTAGAGAGACTTGCTGCTCTCAAACTGTAGAAACAAAAATAGACGGCAGAGGGAATGTTGATTTCTCGGGAAAACTATGGACCTCTTTCATTCTTTATCATTTCAGTCGTTTCTCTCGCCTTTCAGGTATAGTATAGCACATTTACTGGCTGACGGGGAGTCGCACTAAAAGTCCCCGTTATCAATTCACAAACACCTGTTGTATTTACTTGATCCATCGTGTTTTTTTTTCTCATTAGACAGAAAAACCAAAATGCGTAGAAATTTTCAACAGAAACAGTCGAGGACATTTCATTGTTTTAAATGTATCCTGATACGTTGGAAGGTGACAATACTGGCGTTCGTTACACTGTTACCAAGAGCCAAACAATGGTATATTTTACTTCAGAAATGCATGGTTATTTATGTGTGGAGTGGACCCAGATTGAACAATAAACCTAATGTGATTGTGTGTAGCATGGTTAATGAGAAAACAAGCAGAAATTCTTCTTTGACCAAACGATTCGATAGGTCATATGCAGAACGAACTTAAGTTCTTCAGTTTAAGTGAGGAACTTAAGTTTTCCTGTTCAAGAGTTTGCTTTTGAGTGGAAAGAAATATTCATGCTTAATAAAGAAAATAAGCAACTTCGCTCTGCAGTTGATTGCTTTAAATTGAATCTAATGGCCTCATCTCACATCACCGGGAACATACAGTGCCGTTTGTCTTTCTTTTTTTTTTAGCAAAAGGAACTTTGAATGAACTTGTCAAACTCAAAGTGCAACAGCAGCAGAGTGTGGAAAGGCTAAATGCCCAAACATAACATCCTTCACATTCTGACTGCATCAAGCTGGGTACCTTAATGTAGCCTTGTCTGCTGTGCCAACAGGGGAGACTGTAGAAATTCCGCACCACTCTGACAGTGAATGTGACACGCGGACTCCATAGTAACCTGAACACGAGTCTGCACTGTAGTGTTTGAGCATGAAACAGGCGCACACATACAAAGCAGCCATTTAAACTGATTCGAGCCCATCTGGATTTGCTTCTTTTCAATGTGCAAAGTCACGTTTTTTGTGACATCTTACTGGATTCCCATTAAGGGTGGTTGAGTTTGGATAAAGATCTATGTCGAAACGCCTCCGAATTCAAATATTAGGGTGCGATACACGTGCTGCTGGATTGTAAGCCCATCAAACACTCACACTTTTGATACCCTCGGCATATCCAGTGCAGCGAGGTTGAGCAGAGTCATGTTCTAGCTGGGCGTAAAGGATACCGAGGCCCGTCAGCCGTGGAAGAGCTGGTTCGAGATTAGCAAATTAGCCTCTAGCTCCTGACAACACAGTCAAAAACTAGCCTGCAGGAATGTGACTTTGTTGTCTGTGGTTCTCTTCGGTTCCCTAGACAGCAACACTTGCAAGGAAGTATCGACGGGTGAGTAGATATGGGCTCCCAGGAATGTGGCACGTTTGCTTTTGCTCCGGCCTCTCGCAGTCGCACCCTGCCGCCTCCCGCTTTTGTGCTGCCCGCGCTCTCGCTCACTAGCTGCTAAATGCTGACACAACACCCAGTATTGTATGGCCCATGGCCAAGTTCTGGGTGAGGCTGGGGGATTGTTGCACCAAGCTCATTTTAAAAATGCAAACTGATGAAAGGACTGACACACAAGGAGTTGGCTGGGTTATCCAATGTACATTTCGTGTCCCACTGGACGTTATGACCGAACAGTGGTCTGAACAGTGTGAAAGCAATATGAAATGTGTCAGTCCTTACAGGTAGGTCTTTTTTTTCCCATAAGTGTACTTCAGGACACTGCTCTTTTTGCATGATTGGGAGGGCTGTGTTTGGTTACCTACTCACTGAGCCAACAACTCTTCAAGGTTTTTTTTGGTTGACCCGTGTGCTGTGTATGCAAACTAACATTTCCTCACAGAATTGAGCACTAATGCAATATTTTTTTGCAGCATTTGCACCAAATATTCAGATGGCTTTGACGTATTTCAGTTTTAAGCATTGTTTTGGTTTACAAAGCTTCCTTGGATCTATGGTTTGTGCATGCGTGTCTGGACGGGATTTTCTGACTCTTTTCTTGTTTAGTTTGTTTCAATTTAACTTTGAGTGCAACTTTCGTCAATATGTGGAACAAACCAAAAACCAACTCAGTTTTTCAACTGTCCCATTCATTCTTTGATCATTTATAGAAAATAAACCCCTTCTCTTCTTTTCCCACAGGAGTAAATCAACAAGCGATATCCAGATAGACCCTGCGGTTAGCAAGCAGGTCCGCTATGAAGAACTGCAAAAGTTTCGTGAGAAGGTGAAGGAGAATGAAGATCAGTGGCAGGATGTGAGTATATCTGATTGTTGCGCAACACTTCAGTGCTCGAGGATATGTGTCTCGCCACTGTCAAACGACAATGAAGGCAAGTGTTGAAAATAAGGATTAAGTGAAAGGTGAACACATGATCTGGTAGATGTGTGCGGCAGGTGTTGTTGTGTAGTAGACATCTGTGGGGTGAGAACATACACTCTTTGAATTGAACACACAGGAGGACACTGATCAGCCCAGCACTACCCCGTGGCTATGAAGTGCCCTCATTTCCAAATCACTTTGCTGGCATGAATCAGTACACGCTTTAAACACTAATAATAGATGTTATGGCATGATCTAACATAAAATGAATGATATTGGACAGCGATCCTTTGAATAAAATATCTAAAATGTCTGAATGGAAACTTCTTTCTGCAGTAATTTTGGTTATTTGTTGAACATCTTTAGAAATAGAATTTTCAATATTTATGAATAAACGTGATACTTAGGCCTGCAAATGCGTGACCAGCTGTTTGATTGGTGTCATGGTAAAATAATAGTCTTAAAGTAGCATTTAGGTCACACAGTCCCAAATACACAGGGGAAGAGAGCCGGGAGGAGCCTAAAGCTCACAAATAGAACACCTTCAAATGTAGCTCCTTCTCCCTTTTTTCTTTCTCTCCCTCAACTTCTCTCCCATCAGTCGCTCGCGTAGCATTGCAACAAATATTCAGATTCAGTGTCTTTAAAGATTTTTTTGTTTTTATTTAGTTTTTGGAAGATTTGACGCATGAGGTCATTTGGACTTCCTTTTTGTTGCAGGACTTGAGCAAATGGAAAAACCGGCGCAGAAGTGTGAACTCTGACATTGTCAAGAAAAAGGAAGAAAGGGAGAAGATAGAACAGACTTATGGTGGCGACAGAGTGTCCAAGACCTTGAAGGACATGCAAGAGGAGAGGTGAGCAAAATCACGCCAGATCGGGTATTTGAAATGTTCGAAGGATGATGCCATATTCTGTGCTGCTGTGACCGAATTTTTCCCTTTTGTGCACCTTTTGACCCTCAGACGGGGATAATTTCCTAAGGTAATAAGAAGTGTGCATGTAAGAGAAGCATATTTGACAACTTATGTGTTTAAAAGAGAATCCATTTTTAGACTTTTCTTTTTTTAGCAGGAGTGGATGAGAGGACTGTAATTGTTCCCTTAGTTCTTTCTGTGTGAGTGTGTAATTTAATCATGAGTTACCCCCCCCCCTTTTTTTTGCCCCACATCTCTTTCAACCAGTGCTCTACTTTCAGCTGTCCACAATGCCCACCATCAATTCATCTTCACCTTTAATGTTTCCCCTTACAGCACAACTTGAGCTAGTTTACCATTTACTTATATCCGTGATCTACTTTGTTCTTTCTGCAGAGAAAATAAAAGAAAGGACAGCATCGGAAGTCGTATCTCTCTCTCTTACTTAAATGACGACGGGGACGTTTTTGAGAAGCCGGCCTCTACCCGTCGTACCCGTACGCTTCCTCCCAGAAGTTACACTGTTGATGCTCTTTACTCTTCGTCAGAATCATTTGAGCCCGCTTTGAAAGCAGAAAAGCCCCCGGCACCTTCCCCGCCGCCCCCTAGTGCCGCTTCCCCTCCCGCTTCGCGGGAAGTTAAAATTTCGGACAGCCTTGTAGGCAGCAGCTCCATCGCCCCTGCCAGCCACAGCTCAGCCGACAGCTCTGCCTCCCCGGCAGCTGTACCTCCTCTGCAGAGGAGTCAAGCCATAAAAGACACCGGCGCGGCCAAAAGAGAGGAGGCCGCGAGTGCCGTCTCCTCTTCCAGCCTCCCACAGGCGGTGCCCGAGCCCAGGCGCCCATTGTTGGGGAAGCAGACTGAGGCCGAGGCCCCCTCTGATTCTCTGTCCAAACAACAAGCACAGCTCGGCTCGATGGAATCCAAGCCTCCCGAGGTGTCTCGGGTTTCCACCTCCGTCCCCAGGGGCTACCAGAGATCGGATAGTGCGCGTCTGACCTCGGGTTTCACACCAAGGCCCTTTGTGAGCCAGCCCCCTCGCATCATGTCTCTTCCCAGAGCCTTTACAGTGAGTACGAAGCATTTGTAGTGCTTGACACAAACTACCGGTTCAGCACAGCACTAGGGGGACTGCATGAGGTTCTACTTGTTTTTGCCATGTTGGTGATGTCTTTTCTTTTGGTCGCGTCCGTGTTGCCTGAAAATCTTATGTGCTAAGTTTGGACAGAAAGGTCTGCTCTGCATTGACATGTAATTAATTCTTTGCCGTTCTCTATCAATCCTGGACAGATGGATGATTCCCAAAAGCGCGTCAACGGCAACGTCGACGTGTCTAAAAAGACATCAGTGCCGAGCCGGTACCACCAATTCATGACCTCTGAGGATGAGGCTCACTCTAGTTCAGCTCAAAGCAGTGAAGAGGAAGAAGAAGAAGAAGAGAGGGAGGAGGAAAAGACCACAGAAAAGGGTGTCACCTTGATTCAGAGCATCTCATCTGTCACTCCTCATGTCAAGAGGGAAGCTCCTGAAAGTCCTGCCCCGGCCAAAGAAACTAGCCAGGTGCTCGGTTACTTCTTGCTGACTAAACAGTTTTTATGACACTATGAACACTACATGGATGTCTTGCCATAGAACCTCTCTCTGTTTAAACAGCCTGACACGTCGATACACGTGTTGAGCCGTAGAAGAGCAGCCTGCGCTTGCACACTAAAACTTGCTCTCTGCTATCCAGGTTAAGGAGAACTTCTGTGAGATGCGGATCAGTCTGAACCAGAAGCCCAACAGCAGCAGAGACTTTGGCTTCCACGCCACGTGGGACTCAACAGGAGCTCGTGTCACATCCATCCAACCAGGTACCACCAGACATTTCAGAGATTTTGCCTTTGAATAAAATTGATTTCTTTTATACAAGCAGAAGTTTAGAAATGCGATGAAATAATGTTCAGCCAAACTTTAGAAACCACAGTTGGAAGTTATGAAGAAATTCATTTTTCCAGTTTATGTCTTTATCTTCCCTTAGTGGGAAGGTCTGGCTTGCAGCAGTAGTGAAGAAGATAGACAGAACAAAAGCTATACGGACAGGCAACCTGAACAAATAAAGCTAAAAAAATCTATTCGACCAAAATGCTGGAGCCAAAAAGCCTATTTGAATATCAGAAATGTGTTACAATATTTCTAATATTACAAATAGAATGATACCAGCATTATAGAAGATAATTAGTTTTACTTGGAATCAGATCAGATTTATATCTGGTTCTTTGCCCTTGGTCAAACCTGTACCTCCACCATATGAGAGAGGAACAAATGCCCCCTGAAAGAAGATGGACATTTCTAGCTAAAACTGACCTCTACATCCGTGCTATCCTCGTGCTCTGAAAAGTTACCAAGCTAAGGGTTTAAAAAGAACACATATATAATTAAAATATTACACTGAGCTGGTTGCGTCAGTGTTGAAAAGTGGTACTTTGGTTGTGTTGTGTTTTACATCTAGGTCCTGCTGGATAAGTGTCAGCAGGTTTTTGAGTCCATTGCAGTGCTGATGCCAGACCTATGTAGGGCAGATTCTATGTGGGTCATATCTGCCGAGCTTGAGCCTCTCTTTGTACTGATAGTTCTTAAAAACACCTCCCAGCATGCTGTGCGTTTTTACTCGGGTGTAAGTCGTACTTCTGATGCTGATATCCCATCACAATACATTTCCTGGAATTAGCTCCAGCCTGCATGTGATTATGTTTCAAATCACTTTCACGCCTTTTTTTCTTTTCTTTTGTAAGGACTGTACGGGTAAATCACCTTTTCTGTCCTCAAATTCTGGCAAAAGGTTGACCTCTAAACTTTTAGTAAGATTTTTTTCTCAAAACAAACACCAATCAGGTTACGAAACACAAGTGAAACTCACTAAGGTGCCAAGAAATTCAATAAATAAAATGTAAATCAGTCGCCCTGACCCTGATCGACGCGTCTTTCAGGGAGCCCAGCTGAAATGTGCCAGCTCCAGGCCGGGGACGAGGTGCTGACGGTGAACGGGCACAAGGTGGCAGAAATGAGCTACGCCGAATGGAAGTCCTGCAACGAGGAGGCCTTGCACGAGGGCAGCCTGGTCATGGACATCCGCCGTCATGGCCAGAACAGTGAGTCATCTGTTCAGTGTGTGAGGGTGATTTAAAGTGAATGAAACATTTAAGGGCTGCGTTCCTGGACTGACAGAGCCGCTCAAGCCTTGTGTTTCGCTAAACAGTTTTGACATTTTAAATTGGTCTGTAAACTATTGTGAAGTCATCCATGAATGATCTCATGACAGCCAAGTGATGAAGGGGCCTGCGAATTTTCCTCTCTCGTCTGGTGAAGGAGCCGGTTGTTGTTTTGACCTCTGCGCTTTATTGTTTCTCCCTTTTATTCTCTTAAGTGAGTTCTCGCTGCTCAGTTTTTCATGTTTTATCTCTTCTTTCTCTTAGTTTTTTATTCTTTTAGTTGGCTTTTCTGCCTCATTAGTACTCCCTTCTAACCCCACTAAGTTCATTGGTCTAGGGGCTCAGTTTTTTATTTTATTTGCTAAATTACTCTTACTTGTTTCAACAATATCAGTGTCATCTTAGAAAAAGCGATAAACCCAAGCCATACAGCATAGCTCACTTGAACTAATGCAATGTTCTACTTGAAATAGTGTAGTAAAACCCAGTGGCCATGAGCCTGTTAGAAAGGCTGTTTGTGTTTAGGACGGCTTTCATAGGCTGCATGGCTGTGGAAGGTGGTTTCTCTGTCAACCCTGCTGCTCTCTACAGTAACACAATAACAACACCCTTGCCCCCCGCTTCATAACTCTGTATCACACTTTTGGGTTCTCAAATACAGAGGACTCTAACGAACAAAAATGCACAAAACGTGCTTTATTGTGCAAACACAAAATCCCTGTTTTGTTTTTTTGCCATTTACATTTACCGCATGCAGATTGGGACAGAAATCAACCTTCCCTGCCATATAAAAGTCATAAGACCATCAATCTGACCAGTACGGATCATCCGATACTTCTAGGTTCCCCCGAAACAAACGCTGCCACGTCCAGCCTGGATTTCACCTCCAACTCCTCCGCAGATGTGCTGGCAACCAAAGATTCCCCGGCTCGTACCGTTGTTGTAAGTTGACCCCCAACCCTCTGCCGCTGTGACGTCGGTTCGAACAGTTTTATCCAGTTATTGTTTACAGACCAGGGACTCTTTAATGAGTTTACTCCCTGCCACGATTCCCCGCAGGATGTGGCTTCAAACGGAGTTAATGGGGGTTTCAGAGAGGAGGCAGTGACCATGAGGAACAAAGGTAAAGAGCAGAACACACAGTCAGAAAGGTTATGAAATTGATCACGAACGTTATTTCTGGTCTGAGTATAAAAATACATCGGTGGAGATGATGATTTCTTGATTAATTTTTGGAATACTGTAGAAAAAATCAATTTTTACTCAAAACAGAAGGCATTTTCTTTACAGAAATTACGTAAAAAGTTTTGATGCTGTTCATTATTATGTGAAATTCAGAGTTGAAATCCATCAAGTTGAACTTTTTTTCCCTCTTGCTGTCCCTCACTATTTTCTGTTTTCCATTTCTCGTTTAGACTCAGAACCAATATCTTTGAAAAACTTTAAACGGAGGTCAGAGTTTTTTGAGCAAGGTAAAAAGAACGAAAAAAGGTGCTGGGCAAAAGGAGCTGGGCTTGTTCTCAATGTGTATTCTGGTGGCTGGGTTCTCTGTGCTTTCGTCTCAAGTTCCCAAGCGGGGTTTGCATGTTTTCCCGCTGGTCAGAGCTTTGTGTTCAATTGATAAGCTGATCCTCATCAGTAGACTGCAAGCTGTCGGGTTTGACAGAGTGCCCGAGGCCCCTTGGTTTAGTCTCGTCTGGGGCAAAGCTTAACCCAGATGCTTCCCTCCTTTAGGTGGTTCGGAGTCCAGTGCCCTTGTCTACCTCTGTGGTAAAACAGGTTGAGTGTGCACTGCCCCCCCCCCCCCTTCCCCCTCCCCCCCATCATTGTCTTGGTACAACCATGGATGCTGACATGCTGTTCAAACCCAGAAAAAAAAAACGTTTTGCCCCACTTCAAAACCTTTTCATGAAAAGGGAAAAATCATATGAAAAAGCCCAGCTTTTGTAGATGTAAAGCTGAACAGCATGGCAGGGTTCCGGCACACCAAACACAAACGCAGATGACTAGAATCCCGTTGTGTTTGTGGTGTTTTACAATGGCGACCAAGCTTTGCACATGGTTGAGCTACTCGCTTTGCTGCATACGAAGATGAAAGCATGCACGTATCCAATGCATCCGTTTTCCTGTCAGACTGACCACTCTGTGTTTGCATTGAAGCTGCATGTTGCTGATTTCAGCTTGTTTGATCCTCTGTCCTCACTATCAGTTTATTGATTTTCCCGTTGAAGAGTATTTGGACGACATCCAATGTAAATGTCATCCAGTTTGTGGAATTGAGGAAATCAATAAATTTTCTTGTGTTAAATCTGGCCCTTGTCACTTGAGGCCTGTCAAATAAATGAATTACTGTTTTGATTTGTGCTCATGAGTTGACACTTGATTTTAAAAATCAAGTTGAATATTCCATAAACTCAGTTTTTGTGTCAACAGATCAATTAAAAGTAAGCTGAGGTAGTTAAAGGCCTCGGGGTAATCTTTATGTATTGCCTGTGCTTGCCACAACTATTGCTGAAATAACTAAAAATCCTTTCTTTCCCAGGAGGATCAGAGTCTGTAATGCCAGATGTGAGTATATGGGAGGAATTATTTCATTTTATCTAATGTTGTGTGTTTTTCTATACCATGACGACTGTGAAATAAGACACTGACATACTGTTTTTACAAAACCAAACCGACTATTAAGTCTGCCCGAGCCAGATTCCCTCAGCTTTTAAATAGCTCAGACGTTTTGAAACGGCTACTTTTTTCCAGTTTCTATTGAAACATAAGCTGCATTGAGTCCAGAGGATAACCCCGAGTAGTACAAAGGCATTTTTTAATATGCACTGCCTTTAAAGGGAAAAAAACAAGGTCAGCAAAAATGATAAAATGATGGCTTTCCTCTTGCAGGGAGATTAAATAAAAGCCTCGTAAGCCAAGGTAAATAAATTCCTACTTCTGTGGCATTGTTCTTTTATTAGGACGTGTCTGGAGGTTGAGCAGGTTGTCCGTCATTTGCAGAAAACTTTACTGTGCCCAAAAGAGGTTATAGTTTTAGTTTTGTCATAGAGTCATAAGAAAAGTCTGATGTAGTTACCCCTCCCCTCAAGCAAAGCTGAGAAAAAATCTGTATTCTTAACTCAACCTTTACTAATTACATAAAGGCTTGGAGGCCAGTAGGATCACAGATATGCTTTTAATATCGTATCCACTTGCAAAAGAGCAAGAGTCTAATTCCTCCAGACCTAATATGTATGAGCTTTTCGAAAAGTCTCCAATTCAGCTCAAACGTGCACTGTTGGTAAGCTACCGTTAGATTTGGCCTGTGATGACAACAGGCGACAAAAGGGAAATACGACTCGTGCGAGGGTTTCCTTACCAGAGGAGACAATTCCTTTAAGCTTCAAAGTCCTCATAAAACGGATAGAAGGGAGTTTCGACTTCCTCCAGGGATCAGAGAAATGATTATGTTGAAGATTAAACTCCTTTGACCATCGCTCCTTTTCCACTTGGCAGCTTGTACTGCTGTGCACTCTAGTGATAAGTCTCATGTGACTTGGTTTGGCCTACGGGCATGGTCAGTTTTGGAGAGGAGGGCATCATTTAGATACAGCAAAATACGATGGATTCTCAACAGTTTCTAACTTTAAGTTGAACTTTAATGCTCATCTTCAGAACCAAATGGAGGGGAAATGACGAGTTAGAAACACTAACTGTGTCTTTCCTCAGATACCTGTTCCTCCGATCACTCCAACTTCCAGCCGTTGGTCTTGGGATCCAGAGGAAGAGCGCAAAAGACAAGAGAAATGGCAAAAGGAACAGGAGCGCCTCCTGCAGGTTCGTTGGGAAACTCTCATTGGTTAATAAATTATACATTCCATCATACAACTTTACCACGCTTTACAACTTCATAAGGGTTTGAATCTTCTGCTTGCTGTGGAGTTACATGAATGTTGTGGCTATGAATTTGGGAATACTGACGGGGATCTAAATATTTTTTTAACTTTTATTTGTCAGAGCAAACAAACCCGAGTCAGTTTTCTTTAAGCCAGTGTTGTTACATGAAACGATTATGCCCAACATATTAATGGGCAACTAACCATTTACAAGTTAAAAAAAGATAAAAAAGCACATGAATCATCCTGAAGAATTTTGCCTACCATCAGAAGTTGAAAGGACTTAAAAATAAATAAGCCTGTGGAGTATTCATTGGGTTTCACACTTAATGTTTTCCAGTATAAGATAGCATTCCAGTACCTGAAATTATTTGCAGAATTTCCAGCTGAAAATCGAGAAGAAGAAAAATCTGTCCAAACCTTTTTCTGAAGGCTTATTTTTTGGATACACACCAAACGTGGCTAAGCAGAGTGCTGATGTAGCCGAGAGGAATCGTTTACTCCTCCAGTCTTTTTCCCTGTTGGGTAAACAGCCTGATTTCATGATCTACCAGGGAGACTTCCCATCCTGGCAAAATTCCATGGTTTTTCAGAGTGATTGTATAACATCTTGTTTAGATGGGCTTATTGGCCACTTTCCTGTGCTATGAGATACAATGTTTCCAGCATACCTTAAAGAGATCTGTGTGGGTTTTTCCCTTCCTTTTTTTTGTCTGTTTATATTCTGTGTCTGTGTTTTGTTTTTGTTTTGTTGTCTTGAGGCATAAAAAGGTTATTTTAGACTGTAAGATGTGCATTAAATGAAATGGTTTGCAATGTCTCCCTGCTATCTCAGGAGAAATATAAGCGGGATCAAGAAAAGCTGCAGGAAGAGTGGCTTCAAGCTCAGAAAGACATTGGCACAAGTGTGAATGAGCAAGAGGTAACAAAAGTATTTTCTTTTATACACATTATGGTCTAAAGTATACCTAAACTTAAAAGTGGAGAATAGTTTGTGTCTCACACCTCTAATATGACTTTTTGTATCCAAAGAGATTTGATAGTGGGAATTTCCAATGTTGTGCAGTGAATAAGTGGCCACAAACATGGGGTCAGCAACAGAACTATTTGTATCTAACAGTTTTGCAACAAAAGAAACTCCCTTTCAATTAGAATTTCAAAACATTTTCTGGTTTGCCATCTAGGACATGTATGCATTGTGTTTCATTTCCTCCTAGACGTTCACAAAGATGGAGTTTCTAAATAGCATCATGTAGAAATATTTCCTCGTTTCTGTTCTCCTTCTAGCCTGGGAGTCTCAGGGTAAATAGCCATAAAGTCCCCCCATACTCCCCCTCATCTCCTGGCCACCAGCCCACACCTCCTCTGTGGGAAGAGGAAGAGAGAAAGAGGCAGGCAGAACGTGAACACCAAAGGCAAGAGGAGGAGGAGAGGAGGAGGAGGAGGGAAGAGGAGGAGAGAGAGCTGCAGCGTGTCCAGGAGGAGAGGAGGATGAGGGAGGAGGAGGAGAGAGAGCTGCAGCGTGTCCAGGAGGAGAGGAGGAGGAGGGAGGAGGAGGAGAGAGAGCTGCTGCGTCTCCAGGAGGAGAGAAAGCGGAAGGAGATGCAGGAGGAGGAGGAGAGGAAGAAAAGGGAGGAGGAGGAAGAGAGATGGCAAAGGAGAAGAGAGGAGGAGAGGGAGGAGGAGAGGAGGCGGCAGGAGGCTGCAGAGCAGCAGCGCAGAGACAGAGCCCTGGAGCAGCAGCAGTGGTCAGTAGAGCCCCTGCTCCATCTGCTCCGTCCATAACACTCTAACCCATGTGTCCTCATGTCCCCCCCGTGCTGATAATAACACATTTAACCTTTACTGCTTCTGCTTTAACATAAGTGCCACTAATGTGTCCATATCTGCTTTATCCTCCTGCCGTACCCATCATCCCACCTATCTGTACACATCTGCACACTTCCCTTTGCTAAAGGGCTGGTGGCTTCGCTGGCTTTGCTAGTGTCCAGGCTCCACTGTCCTTTACAGACAGGTCAGTACAGGAAACTAAGTGAACGTGTTTTTCAAACTGCACTTCATGACAGGTTTCTCCCTTAGCTAACGTTAACGTTTCTTCCATCACAGTCATTCTACCTACCAGCCCAAAAGCTACAAACATCTGCAGACACAATATTTGTTTTCAGAACAATGAATTAAAAACGTATTTTTTCAAAGTCTTGAGCATATAGTTTGGTGACACACTGAAACTGTAATATATAACATAGAGATAGTATATCATCAAAAAGGTTTTTGAATGTATTATTCAATAACTAGAGCCCCAGCTTTCGGCACCCATATGTAGTATTAGCCACATAAATGGATTTTCACTATAGAAAGTTTAAAGATATAAATAAGTAAAACTGAGAGTTTATTATTGTTGAAACTTACTAAGAATTTTATATAAAAACCATACTTCAGAACTTAAAAGTTTCAGCAAAATTTTTTTGAAATATGTTGGTTTAGGTAGTGTCCTATTACAAATTAGAAAGACGGGCAGTACGGGACAGCAATGGTGATTGTAGCTACGATATACCTGTTAACCCTAAACCTCTTTTCTGGACCTCAAATTTTGTTCATGTGTCACAATGCTAATGTTTTTGCAGAGTTTTTTAAATAGGCTGGGTTCTTCTGAAGGAGACATTTAACACAATCTTTTTTCAGTTGCTTTTTATAGATTACCAATATTCGCATTTTATTTCAGTCAGCATCCAGTTTATTTGTAGGAACGTCTATTAAACCCAGTAGTATCCGATTCAGTATCTTTGCAGAAATGTTTAGTATAAGCTCACAAACACATTAGTCCTCATAATTTTGTATTGTCGACTGTTAAACTTGGGCTATTTCTTTGTGCCCGTGACCCAATTGGGAATAAGTGCTATAGAAAATGGATGAATGGATATTTTCTTTGTGGAGGAACACTCTTGTTTTTCCTCAAATAATTTTCCAGTACAGAAAGTAATTGACACATCTTTCCCTTTTATTACCTTTTTTTCTAATACTGTCATTATATTGCATCACCAAAACAACAAAAGTCCCTCACATAGTCTTAGATAGAGCTCATGAAATTGTTGGTCTTCTAGCATATGGATTAGGTGTCCAATGCTATATAATTAGTCCCTAATCTGCTTATTTAAAAATGCTATTTAAATGTAGCGTATTTAGTCATATTATCAGATCACTTGTTGCTGCCCAAATATCAGACATCCTTTATCCTTTTGGGAATGTTACTTTCAGCTTTTTGTGGAATTACATCCTGGTCTGTTTGTTTTTACAGGACAAAATCCAAATCATCTCCCCAGCTTGATGAGGAGGACAAACCTCAGAGGAGAGGTCAGTTTTCTTGACCGCTTTTCGCATTTTTCTAAATTTCTCTGTGTGGGCACTTGGTTGCGTGTGTTCTACATATGCCGGCTGTATCCTGCTGTAGGTGCACATGTGCATTCAAAGGACAGGGCTCAGTGGCATCTGGAAGAACAATTGAGGATTGCCCGTGGCAGAGAAATTCAGAGGACTGTCTCAGAGCTGCAGATGAGGCAGAGAAACAGCCTCAATGCCATGAGAAACAGGGAGCCCGATATAGGTGGGCTTCGCCCGTGAAGCGCCGCCTCTCCGTTTTGACCTTCTCGGCCTGCTCCCATTGTGCTCAGCTGATTAATCTGAGACGCTCCACTCAATAAAAGCTAACACTCACATTTTAGCTGACCCATTAAATGGCAAATCCATCAGTCGGCTAACCAGAAAATGACTCAACGCCTAACTCAATGATTCCAGAGTGATTGCTATCAGATCTTTCTTTCCGCTATGATTCAGTGTCCGTTTTGTGAACTCCAACTAGGCCGGAATAACGCTACATCCTCATCCTGATCTTATTCTCTCCCAATACGTATTCATCTAATTTCGCCATCCATCACCAGCTGTGACCAGCTTTTTAACCCCCTCCCCCCGCATCGCTTGTTGTTTTACACAATTTTGTTTACATCCCCTCCACAGGCACGGCGGCGGGAAGTGGAGTCGCCGAGAAGAGGGGTCAGCAGACCTCGTCGCAGGCCGAGCTGGAGAGGCAGCAGATCCTGAACGAGATGAAGAAGAAGACTCCGCTGCTGACCGACAGCAGCTGGATCCGTCAGAACTCCCCGAGCAACGCCGCCGACCAGGAAAATGAAGTGCCACCTATGCGCAGGTAAAGACATACCCCCCCCCCTCCTCACTTCATGGTGTCGGTTGGGTTTTTTACTACTACTAACATCCTGTTTGGTTGTGGTCAAGCCTAAACATTCAATGGTCTGGCTATCATTCTGCTTTAATGACTATTTGGAAACAGTTGGTAGCCAGACGGTTCTACTGCCTTGACTAACCCGCTAACCCGGGCGTGGTGTGGGCTGGTTTGCAGAGGTGAATCGCTTGACAACTTGGAAACCTACAACTCCCGCCGAGCCTCCTGGACGTCCAGAAGCAGCTCGTTTGCCCAAAACTACTCTCGGCCCCAGCCCGGCCTCCCCGGCAGCAGCTCTTTTTACACTAGTGGGTCGGGGGCCCAGCGGCCCGTCTCCTCCACGCTGCCTTCTTCCTATTCCATGAGCTCCTTCCGAAGTGGGGCCGGATCCCACTCGTCCTCTTGGTCCCGGCAGTCGTCCTCCCCCTCGCACTCTTCTCTGTCCTCTCCAGAACCCACATCTGACACACCTGAGCAGCGGAGCAGGTAAAATGAGCAGAACCGCTTTGCTTAAGGCTCTAAACAAGCAGCTTCTAAACATGTACTGAGAACACCGGGTTGCAAAATTGTAAACCGACGCTCTTACGATGTATTTCTAAGTGGGGAGTGGTTTCAAAGGTGTCTTAACTCTAACTCTATTCAATCTATTTATTTATTTTTGTAACTTACCATTACATGTCATGTTGTATTTGTGCTATTCTGCATTTCAGATCCAATTATTCCTAAACCCATGTGCCTTTTCAAGCCATGTTTGTTTAATTTCAATTCCATTCAAAGTATCATTTCAGGCTGTGTGTCCATTTTCACATTGTTTTCTATACCACATTATTTACATCAAAATGATTATTCATAAATGCGAGTGTCCCACTTGACAGGCATGAGTGGTAAAGTGGACTAAAAACAGATTCTTTTAAAAGATATTTAGAATGCTCTCCAGCCGAGTGAAGTGAAATGGACGTTTTTTTGTAATACCCAATGTCAGGAAAAATTGTTGAACCGTAGCGTGTACCGATGTGGATGCATTCACACGTGCGTTATCTATGTGTGCTTTGGCTCTCAAATCACAGCTGTACATTCTGTAATCCAGGTCAGTGAGTGGCAAGAAAATCTGTACATTCTGTGACACCCCGCTCGGAAAGGGAGCGGCCATGATCATCGAGTCCCTGGGGCTCTGTTATCATTTGAGCTGTTTTAAGGTGAGAGACGAGCTCCTGTCGTCAGCGGAGGGAGAGCACCTTGGCTGATCCTGAAAGACTAACATACGATCACTGCAACCCTGTTCTCTTGTTCCACTAACACGGCTGAATATCCAGACCCCGATTCCTTTCCGGCTGAGCAAAGCAGCTTTTCTGTGCCAAAAACCTACAAATCAATAAGTCCGCCTAATCACTTTGTTTCCTTTTCACAAACTGATGAATCTAGTTGCTGTTTTTTTTTGGTTTTGTTTTTTATTCTTCAGGGAACTTTGGTGTCATGCATCTGAACATTGATCTCCTCTGCCACGATTTATCTTTCACCTCCTTCATTTCTTTCACACACAATCGAGGCCTTTGGCTCTTCTCCGCACATCTCCCCACCTGAGGTCCCTCCAGTGTTGTTTTATCCAGATTCATGGCTCCTTTAACTCTCCGTTTTCTAAATTGACAGTGTATCGACTGTAAGGCCGACCTCGGGGGATCGGAAGCCGGGGCTGAAGTCAGAATACGAAACAAACAGCTCTACTGTAACTCATGCTACATGCGATTCAAAGGTAAGCAGTCAATCTCGCTCATCTTCCTCGGGGTACTGTTGATACTCTTTTAGCTTTAACGGTGCCGTTTATCGTCTTCCAGCCGGCCACCCAACAGCTATGTGACGTGACTGTGCTCCAGCAGATTGACGAGGAGAGTACTTGCGACAACAACCCATGAACTTTAACAGAACGTCAAAGCTTTCGGAAATAACTGGGACACTTAGTTCCAACCCTCCTTTAAACTTCAGGTGACTCCCTGATGAGAATTATATTTGTTTTCACGTCATGTGATTAAGGGGATAAGATGTAAATTAAGTAAAGTTGTCTGCTTATGTGTTTATACCATATTAAATGCAACACCTGTAAAATGTAGTGGTTCTGCATGCATCAGAGTTTTAAATGTTTTAGAAGAAAACTAGTCGAGCAAGAAAAATGTTTCGAGTAATCTCTCCTTTGACCTTCACTTAGACAGATTTTGTAGTTATTGGAAGAGAACCCTGCAGGATCATGCTTCTTTTTCCTAAGTCTTGTGGTGTTAACATGTTAACTATCTTTTCTTATGTCTATGTGCCTTCATATTCGTAACTGGGAAAACTCTATAAAATTACTAGAATTCTCCATAAAATATTTAAGTGTAAAACTAAACTAAACAAAAGAGAAGTGTATGCTTGGACAGCACTTTCCATATTAAGGCTATTCATCATTAAGAGTGGAACTGCAGCAAAACCTAAAATTGTAAATAAATTGCTAAATGCTTATCGTTTGTGTGTTTTTTTTTTTTTTCCAAACAATGAATCTACTCGATCCTGTGTGTAGACATTCCAGCATCTGATGCAAAGCTTTCCCTGCCTCTGTAATCGGAAATCATAACACTCATCTTTCTCTATCTGCCGTCCCATTCTCTGTTTCTCTGTGGTAGCACAGTCATAATGAAAGGAATTTCAATGAGCCTGTGTGGTAAGGTTCAGAGGACCTGCCTGCTCTGAGTTATCCAAAGCCAATTTGTCATGCATATTTCATTCAGTGGGCATGCATCACATTTGATTGCACTTTGATAGGCTGTTTTCTAAGCATATTCTGTCCTTCTAGTCAATCTCCATTGAATATTCATATAATTCAATATAATAATACTTTAATATGCAATAAGGAACGAACCTGATGTCCATTTACTGCTCAGAATTGCATTTAAACCAGAAGGTAAGGCGCTGTCCTCACATTCACGGTGGAAATTAGGTCGGTTGGAGCAGTATACTCCATGGAAATAAATCGCACCAACCATTATTCTGCTGCATGCTTCTGAAGTGAAAGCACAGACAGCCTTGGAGGCAGACATCTCAAATTCTGAGGTTCCCTTTTTAGAATTTGCTCAGCCTTCTTGTTGCAGAGGGAGTTTAATCATGATAATGCTTAGAAAACAAGCCTGACTAGAATGGCGCCGAACACAGTTGAGTGGTTAGGAAATATAAAACCTTCCAGAATAAACATCCTTTTTTTTCCCCCCTCGAAAGCCAAGGCCTCAGCTACCCAATAGCTTGTGTGTTGGGGGTGCGTATAGAAAAAGGACACTTATATGTGGTCTGTAAAGAGATGAGTACACACATGGAAAGAGCTAAGACAGTCCTAATCAGAAAAAAAAGCTAATCCTAACTCCAGTAGGTTTTTAATTTCCTCCCTCTGGATGCAAACATCTCACATCTTTTGAATTTTCAGCAACAACTGTGGCATGAAAATGTTTTTACCTTGCTCTCAGCACATGAGTAAGTCCAATTATCCCACCCAATTTTGGCTTCAGAGTCCCTTTAGAGAATTTTTCAATTTCAATGTTGCTCAGACTGACCTGAAGGGGGCACTGTGATACAAGACTTTTTTAATTTTGTGAAGACTCATTAATGTCTTAGCTGCAGCAAACTGATGAGTGTTGGTGTCTAAACCACACGTGCAAATACATGCGATTTAACTTCGTTTTATGAGAAATGCTGATTACAGCAGCTTAAAAGTATGATTCCCTATGCAGTATGTGGAAAAGAATTTGTTTTTAACAGGATTGCAGCACACACTATCATCGGCTTGGGTACCAGATAAAAAAAAAAAGCTTATTGTTCTGAGCCAAAATCATATATCTTACCCCATTGCTGAGCAGTTAAACACTCTTTGAAGCTATCTTAGACTTGCTGCACCTCCTGCCATGGAAATTCTGTATTTCACATTAAAAGTGAGATATCAGGCACCGGTTCACCTGACGACAGAAATGGTGCTATAATTAGTCGTGTAATTGCAGACGCCGTCTCCAAAGACCTGTTGCTATAGCTTGCAGGCACCACAAAGTGCTGTCACACGTCCTGCTAGCAAGAGAGATTACAGAAAATGCACGTTCAAGTAAATCAGTTAATTCCCAGTACAGCAAGCGAGCATGACCTCGGTTCATGGAAGCGTAGTTCTCAAGTCTCGGAGGAGAACGTTGAACCTGACAATGTGTGGCAAATTGATAAATTGTATTAGATGTCCACTGTGAGTGGTTTAGCAAATACAAATCACAAGAGGATGAGGGAGAAAAAAAAAAGATTTTACTGTTCTTTTCAATCTTCCAGGTAAGATGTGAGCAGTTACATCTACGAGAGGGTCATTTTTCTATGAGAATATCCAGGAAAAATGTGAATGGGGTGTGAATATCATTTATAAAGCTGCCCACTGAGAACATGCATAGTTTTGGTAATAAGGAAATAACGTCTTGTACTTTGCAGTTTAAGTATGCTACAGGTGGCTAGTTTGTTGATTAAGGAAAGATGATTACTGTTCTTTCACAAGCACGAGCACGCTTCTTTCTAGTTTTATTGGGATTATTGATCTGTGACCTTTTGTGCATTGAGGAAAGGATCAGCCTAGATCCCTACTTGTCTTCATTAAAAATGCTGCCTCTAATCCCTGACTCACAAAAGGGCAGAGCTCATTCAAAAGAGACTCGACCTTATAACAGAGTTGTTTGCTTGTTTTTTCTATTTTTTTTATAAGACTTGATTTGTTTGATGGTAAAGGGCTTCAACATGGACAGAATAAGGCCCTAAATATGAAATATTAACCAGAGCTTTTCCCTACGGTTACAAATGAGCCTCTTTTTCCTTGTTTTTCCGTTGTATGTAAGGGTACTAAGAGAATTATTCACACAAGTAAGAAAGAAAAAAATCAATGAACCTTTCAATGAAAGGTCTACGATATCTACCCAGTACATACAAAATACCATCCAACCACGTTAGAAAGAAGAACAAGCCCTTTCTGTGATTTTTCTGTGCGACCCCAAAAGAGGCATTTTCATGAATTCAACATAGTGGCTGCGGAAGGCAAAACTGTCGCCGGAGAGAGGATGCGTTTCAGCTGCTTTTTCTGGTTGCGGGAAATAGAAAAAGGCGTTTTGAAAATGTTACATGGCTCTAAAATGATAAGACTGCACGGTCACAGCTGGGGCACCCTGATATGCTTGAGTGTACATCATGCCCGAGGTGACATGGGACTGAGGTTTCTGTCCTCATATTAATTCATCCTGCCTCAGTGCTATAGCTGAACATGACACGGAATACTGATCATCAGTTAAGCATTTTCCACTCCCTATCTGCTGCTTTAGTGTCTTTTGAGCAGAGAAACAAGAGAGAAGGACGCCAACAGTTCAACCTGTCCGAATGCACCCATACATAAAACACCTCATACTCTTTTCAAATGCGTTTCAAGCTCTAACTGGCTGTATCCGTTGAGCAGTGTACAGACAGTAAGATGTGTGACTGTAGTCCATCTTTAAATAGTTACAGCGTCCGTTAATTTCAGTTTATCCTCACAAGCCGACCGGGATTGAAGTTAATTTGAAATTTATCACAAGTTAACTTTAAAGAGAGGATGGCTCACTCTCGGAACTGCCCTTTCTTTGATCTCGGGAAGATTTATTGTGACGTGTAAACTGTGCACAGTGGAATGGAGGTCATGTTCTTACCAGACACCGACAACTGCCGGCAGATAGTCCCTCTCACATTAGCTGCCACAAAAAAATGCCCTTTGCAACTTAAAGGTCATTTTCATTTTGGCTGTTTATGACATTATAAAAGGGTGGCTAAAAAAAAATAAGCACAACATCACCAATAAACATCATTTCAACAGGTCCCCACTGTCCTTATCTGCACTGTCACAGTCGGCCTGAATTAATGAGGAACTAAATATATGACAAAAGGGATTTTGTTTTCTTTCACTGACTATTTAAGGCCCATATCAAGCATTCTTCACATTGACATAATCATCAGCTTTTTTCCAGATGCTGAACTTCTCTCCTGTCATTTTTCCAGTCGTTACATGGGGTAAAAAAATTTAATGCACATCTAGAAATCCCTTTCAGGTTTCTGTCAAACAGGAACATCCAATGACTACCCTCTGGGATCTTGCCAACAAAACCCAGCTGCATTGTTACTCAATTAAACATTTAGAAACATGTTCTAACATTCCATCCAATGTAAGTCTTAAGCCATGTGTCTGTTTTCTCTGTCAGAAAACAGGCAGAAAAACAACCGGTGTTTTTTTTTTTACTTATAAGTGTTTTAGAATTAGATCACTACATTAAAGACATTAAAATCTTCCGTCTTTTGAAAGATTTGGTCCTCCGAATGGATCAGGAATTCTGTCTCAAAGTTTTTTCTTGTGTGTTATTTAAAAAAGCAATGCTGAGCTAAAAGTGCCACACCCCTTAGGCCTGTAGAGATGTTTTTGTAACTCTGCATGAGTCGCTGCTCATTCACCAGTGGCTGTGCAGACCTATCTCTGTGCCACTCTCTCTTTCACCCTCAGTAGAACAGCCATATGGACAACTCAGTAATCCTCTGTATAGCCTGAGGCCAACCTGAGGCTGGAACAGCCCGGTCAGCGCACGCTGACAGAAAAGAGTTTACAGTCTGTGTTTCCAGTGATTACGCAACATGCAGGAATACCTCGTAACATTCTTATACAGAGGGATGTTGGTCAAGCTGACGTCCATCATGGACAACACATCCCAACCCCTACGTGACATTGTGGGATCACTGAGCAACCCCTTCAGCAGCAGGCTGCTACACCCACGGTGTAAGAAGGAGAGATACCGCAGGTCCTTTTTCCCTTCTGCCGTTAGAATTTACAACACCTGCACTGCCAGATCCATGATGTTAGCCTCAG